CTGATGCCTGCCTACTGACACCTCAGGATCTGCATGGTTTCTGTTTTGCTCTAAACAGAGTAAGAGAGAAAAATTATCTATCCACACACCTTACTTCATAATGGCACAATACATATAATATATAACAAGCTGTAGGATAAATCAATTTGACCTCTTTTGGCCCCAATTTTTCATTGGGCTGTACAGTATATGCGTTTTGAAAGAGAGCTTGAGGAGGGGGAGAAGGTGTAGGAAAATACGGCCAGGAGGAAAGTCCAATGAAACTAGTAGGGAAAAAAATAGAAATCAATTCAGGTGTATGCGCTTTTTTTTTTTTTTAAGATGAGGGGGGAGAGAAGAGTTGGAGAAAAGGGCAGAGAGGAAGACCTGTCAGTTGTATAACAAAAGGGAGAAAGAATAAAAAATAAATACATTTTGAAAGAGCAATCTGCCACTAAGGATTGAAGGGACTTTAGAGAACAGTTGATAAAAGGGTAATTCAGAACACTGTACTAACTTTATCAGAACTTTTCATTGGAAACATATAGAGTTAGACCTGTTAAATGAAGCACAAGATGAAGGCAGTGTATCTTTAAGAAACCACAAAGTACAGTGGTACCTTGGGTTACATACGCTTCAGGTTACATACGCTTCAGGTTACAGACTCCACTAACCCAGAAATAGTACTTCAGATTAAGAACTTTGCTTCAGGATGAGAACAGAAATCGCGCAGCTGTGGTGCGGCGGCAGCAGGAGGCCCCATTAGCTAAAGTGGTGCTTCAGGTTAAGAACAGTTTCAGGTTACGAACGGACCTCCGGAACGAATTAAGTACTTAACCTGAGGTACCACTGTACCAGCAGCTTTGCCAGCCTACATGTGACTGGGTTCCGGGTGAAAGAGCTAGGAAATAGCTCCTAAATCTTGAAGCTTATAATCTCTGCACTTGTTTGGATATTCATTCACTGTTCTACTTTCAATGTTTAATTAATGCCTCTATTTGTGCATGGCCTTCTCAAAGGATTAACATTAAGAGGAACTAATAGAAATTCTATAAACGAAGAAACTGAGGTTGCATTGAAGCAGAAGGATGGAATAACATTAAAAACATCCTCCCTCCCGTCACATTCAGTTGCAGTTTTCTTTTGGGATCTCCAGCCACTTGGTAAAAGGGAAACATGCTAAAGCTGATGAAATACATCATGAACATTTGCAACAAATGGGAGAACACCTTCAAAAATAACTGTATTAAAGGTGTGAAAGCAAAAAAGGTAAATGCTAAATGACATACGTCTATAACAAGATGCAAGAGAAACACTAAATTTGTTCAACTCTTGTGGAAAGCATAACAATCATTGCCATCATCCCACTACTATCAGTGTGTATGGCACAAGTGTCCAGATATCCGTCCTGAGGAGCTTACAATCTAAATTTGATATGGTTAATTTGGTGGTTGATATTAATATTTATGGCCACATTAATACTTCCAGAGTAGTGGAATAGCCTTTGGTGCTGAAACCACTCTAAGCCCCTGAAAGTACTGTTATTTTATGGAAATATCAGATATATCACTTTTCCCCTTCGAAAGCTATTCCTCCTTTTCTCCTTCTCTCTACAGCCTCCTATTGTCTTTATGATGACATTGAAGCTACCATTGTAACATGGTGCTCTTTTGTCCCCTCAGCCCAAATACTGTTCCTGGCAACCTTGAAAATATTAGCTATGAGAGCATAATTTTTTAAAAAGTTCTTCATTTTCTAGATGTTTTTAGATGTTTTTATTTATCCTCCATTTTATTTTATTTGGGATAAAAGGCAAGATGGAAATATGTATGAGGTATTCTACATATGCCTTCCTTGTTTTCTGTCCTTTTTTTTGCCATTCATTGCTGTATTATAAGGTTGCCTCCTTTTCGACTTCCAAATACATTTATTCCATTTTCCCAACGCAGGCCCCCTTGATAACATTTGCTTCAATCTGATTTCCAACTGTTAAGAGATTTGTTTATTCACTTTCTTGGTCTGGAGCCCAATCCTTCTGCATCAATTTTGTTACCACCAAAGGCAGCAGGAAGAGAAATCAGATGGTATTTTTGCAGCCATTTGTTACTGCTTCACTGAAGAATTCACAGTTCTTTGCACAGATTGTCTTCTGCTGGGAGAATTCATGTTTTTCCCCCTTTTCTTGTCAGCTTTAATTGAGGAAGCCTCTCTGTGTGTAGACATTTCACTGTATGTGTGCACAGAGGGGGGAATGCTAGGAAAGTTATATAACTCACAATTTGCCAGTGCAATATTTTGTTTGCACATTTGATAATTACTTTGATTGCAAATCTGGAAGACGCTCCCCAGAACATCTTTGAAGATAAAGATCAAGTACAAATGGAAGTTGCTGGGTTGGTGAGGCAAGCTGCTTCTATTGAATTATTTGAGAACTCAGATAGCTATGTGAACTGAATGTTATCACTGGCCCATCTCGCCCAGTATTATCAACTGTGACAGCAGTGGCTCTCCTGGAATTTAAGCAGAGGTCCATCCCATTAATTGCTGCCTGGTTCTTTCAACTGGAGACTTTGAAGGTGGAACTTAGGACCTTCAGCATTAGTGATGTGCCACATTCTTGCACCTCCCCCACCCTATTTATAAGAGAAAGAAATTGTATTTTAAAAATGGAAGAGAAATCTCATTGATTCGTGGGAGGTTCACAGGCTTTCCGTTGTGCTTATCTTACTTTTGAAGTGTTTGTGAGTGCCTTTCCTTTCTTTTTCTCTGATTTACATGCCATCTTTACCATAATCTGTACTCTGCAGCTTCCCCTAAAACCATGTAATGGCCTTAGCCACGTTTTCATGTAAACAAAGGAAGGAGAGGAAGTCGCCTACTGTATGCATCTGGTCACTGTTCATATAGTAAGTATTTTTTTTAAAAAAAGGTATAAAGAAGGATTTCACTTAAAATCAGCTAGTGCTGCAATCTCGGGCATTTGGTAGCCAGCCCTGTACTCTATCCCTGTTCACATTTTTCAATTACAGCTCAGGGGGGAAAGCTGAGAGGCAACTCCTTCCATGGGGATTTTTTTTTTCCAGATCAGGAAGCTCAAGGAGCAAGAGAGGCTGTAGAGTGCTGGAGAAATGTTTAATGGAAAGAAAACACACACACACACACACACACACACAGGATGCAAGAAGGCAGTGATTCCCATTCCAATCTGAATTTGACACATTCAACACTGTTTCCATTCTGATACAGTTCAGTTTCTGTCAATACTATGTTATTCATCTCGCTGTCCACTATTCAATGTAAATTTACCTAAATGACATAAAAATACAAATAAACCATTCTTGTTTGCATACTTGAAGAAATCAACAACAATTTGAATGAGTACCAATCCTATTTGATTGAATGATTTCTATTCCTGATCACAGACAAACCCATAAAGTGTGTCAGTTTCCACTTCTCTGACATTCCTACACACCACCCACTCAAGACTCCTTTGGAACAAAAAAGTCAGCAACTCACCAAAATTTGATAGAGATTCTAAAGAGCCATGAGCATGAAACAGGAAAATAGTTACCTCTTTTGCTGAGAAACTAATCTTTCAATAAATTAGAGGGCAGGTTAAGACCCAGCACTAATCTTAAAGTCCAAATGCAACCACTATCTCTCAATTTTCCATACAAAAAAGGATGGTAATTATTTAGCAGATCACAGAGTATTCTGCAAGGAATCATAAAACCCACTGACAAATACCCCTTCCTCTTGGTTCATGTGGGAACCAATGACACTGCAAGCAATAGCCTCCAGAAGATCAAAAGAGACTACGAGGCTCTGGGCAGGAAATTGAAGCAATTAAATGCACAAATTGTCATCTCATCTGTCCTCCCAGTTGAACGACGTGGCCCAGGGAGAGAGGGGAAAATAGTGGAAGTGAACAGCTGGCTTCGCAAATGGTGTAAACAGGAACGGTTTGGATTCTTAGATCACGGACTACAGTTTCTTGAAGATGGACTTCTGGCAAGCGATGGGCTGCACCTCACAACGGTTGGGAGAAATGTTTTTGCCAAAATCTCAGAAACCTCATCAGGAGGGCTTTAAACTGACTAATGTGGGGAGGGAGACAGTGCTCCTGAAGGTAGGAGTCTATCAATTGATGAAGATTATCATCCAAATGTCATAGACCAAATGGAGCAAACAGCACGCAGACCTAGTGGTGGGAGGAAAAAATCCTTAAATAAGAGACAAGGGGAATTATTAATGGACTTCAATGTCTGTACACTAATGCGCAAAGCATGGGAAATAAACAAGATGAGCTTGAGCTCTTGGTACAGCAAACTAAATATGACATAATAGGCATCACTGAAACCTGGTGGGATAAGTCCCACGATTGGAATGTAATAATGGGGGATACAATCTATTTCAGAGAAACAGACCAGACAAGAAAGGAGGAGGAGTGGCGTTGTATGTCAGGGATGTATATACCTGTGAAGAGATCCAAGATTTAGAACCTCAAAGCCAAAGTGAGAGCATTTGGGTCAAAATTAAGGGACAGAAGAATAACAGTGACCTCATTGTGGGAGTTTACTATAGATCCCAAGCCAAACGGAGGACATAGATGATGCCTTCCTGGAACAGATGGCCAAGCATGCAAAAGGAAGGGAGATAGTAGTAATGGGGGACTTCAATTACCCGGATATTTGTTGGATGTCAAACTCAGCCAAGAGCATAAGGTCAAACAGATTCCTCACTGGCCTTGCAGACAACTTCATTGTCCAGAAAGTGGGAGAAGCAACAAGAGGAACAGCCATTTTAGATCTGGTCCTAACCAATGTTGATGACCTGGTTAGTGGGGTAGAAGTGGAAGGATCATTAGGCGCGAGTGATCATGCTCTTCTGAAGTTTACTATACAGCGGAAAGGAGCAGCCAAGCATACTAGGACTCAATTTCTTGACTTTAAGAAAGCCGACTTCATAAAACTTAGGGAAGTGCTGGGTGAGATCCCATGGACAGTAATACTAAAAGGAAAGGGAGTTCATGATGGCTGGGAGTTTGTTAAGAGGGAGATAGTAAAAGCACAACGTCAGGCAATACCAATGAGACGGAAACATGGAAGGTGCCTAAAGAAGCCAGGGTGGCTATCTAAAGAACTTTTAACTGAGTTAAGATTAAAAAGGATGTGTACAAAAATGGAAAAGGGGAAACCACCAAAGAGGAATTCAAACAAATAGCCAGCACGTGTAGACACAAAGTCAGAAAAGCTAAAGCACAGAATGAACTCAGGCTTGCTAGAGAGGTTAAAAGCAACAAAAAAGGCTTTTATGGGTATGTTCGTAGCAAAAGGAAGAACAAAGAAACAGTGGGGTCACTCAGAGGAGAAGATGGTGAAATGCAAACAGGGGACACAGAAAGGGCTGAACTCCTCAATGCCTTCTTTGCCTCAGTCTTCTCCGATAAAGAAAACAATGCCTGACCTGAAGAATTTGGAGCAAATGATTCAGCAAAGGAAACACAGCCCAGAATAACTAAGGAGATAGTACAAGAATACTTGGCTAGTTTAGATGTATTCAAGTCTCCAGGGCCAGATGAACTGCATCCAAGAGTATTAAAAGAACTGGCAGATGTGATCTCAGAACCACTGGCAGTCATCTTTGAGAATTCCTGGAGAACAGGCGAAGTCCCGGAAGACTGGAGGAGGGCAAATGTTGTCCCTATTTTCAAAAAGGGGGAAAGAGAGGACCCAAATAATTACCGCCCAGTCAGTCTGACATCAATACCAGGGAAGATTCTGGAGCAGATCATTAAGCAAACAGTCTGTGAGCACCTAGAAAGGAATGCTGTGATCACCAATAGTCAGCATGGATTTATGAAAAATAAGTCATGTCAGACTAACCTGATCTCGTTTTTTGACAGAATTACAAGTCTGGTAGATGAAGGGAACGCAGTGGATGTAGCCTACCTTGATTTCAGTAAGGCATTTGACAAGGTGCCCCATGATATTCTTGTAAAGAAGCTGGTAAAATGCGGTCTTGACTATGCTACCACTCAGTGGATTTGTAACTGGCTGACTGACCGAACCCAAAGGGTGCTCATCAATGGTTCCTCTTCATCCTGGAGAAGAGTGACTAGTGGGGTGCCACAGGGTTCTGTCTTGGGCCTGGTCTTATTCAACATCTTTATCAACGACTTGGATGATGGACTCAAGGGCATCCTGATCAAATTTGCAGATGACACCAAACTGGGAGGGGTGGCTAACACCCCAGAGGACAGGATCACACTTCAAAACGACCTTGACAGATTAGAGAACTGGGCCAAAACAAACAAGATGAATTTTAACAGGGAGAAATGTAAAGTATTGCACTTGGGCAAAAAAATGAGAGGCACAAATACAAGATGGAGGACACCTGGCTTGAGAGCAGTACATGTGAAAAGGATCTAGGAGTCTTGGTTGACCACAAACTTGACATGAGCCAACAGTGTGACGCGGCAGCTAAAAAAGCCAATGCAATTCTGGGCTGCATCAATAGGAGTATAGCATCTAGATCAAGGGAAGTAATAGTGCCACTGTATTCTGCTCTGGTCAGACCTCACCTGGAGTACTGTGTCCAGTTCTGGGCACCACAGTTCAAGAAGGACACTGACAAACTGGAACGTGTCCAGAGGAGGGCAACCAAAATGGTCAAAGGCCTGGAAACGATGCCTTATGAGGAACGGCTAAGGGAGCTGGGCATGTTTAGCCTGGAAAAGAGGAGGTTAAGGGGTGATATGATAGCCATGTTCAAATATATAAAAGGATGTCACATAAAGGAGGGAGAAAGGTTGTTTTCTGCTGCTCCAGAGAAGCGGACACGGAGCAATGGATCCAAACTACAAGAAAGAAGATTCCACCTAAACATTAGGAAGAACTTCCTGACAGTAAGAGCTGTTTGACAGTGGAATTTGCTGCCAAGGAGTGTGGTGGAGTCTCCTTCTTTGGAGGTCTTTAAGCAGAGGCTTGACAACCATATGTCAGGAGTGCTCTGATGGTGTTTCCTGCTTGGCAGGGGGTTGGACTCGATGGCCCTTGTGGTCTCTTCCAACTCTATGATTCTATGATTCGCAATGACCAAAACAAGCATGTAAATTGTAAAGAATATTGAGAGATATTGAGATGATGGATACTCCTCTTAACACCCATAAGGTGTTAAAATAGAGGAGTCAAAAAGGTGCTAGATTAAGTAAATCAATCTATAGCTTCTAAGATCCCCACCAAGTAATCAAAGAATCTCTCTCTAATTCTTCAATAAAGTTCACAGTTTTCCTTAAAGATAAATAATTACACTGCTTCTTCATTAATTTGTCGGTAAATTCTATTAGACTTTGAATCTTTATATCCTGGAAATGTATCTGAAGCTAAATGAACCTCATTACACACTTTTCATGAATGTGATAATGGGGGTAAATGCACAAATCACAGCCTATCATAGTTAATTGCTGAACTCCCAATATTACAAACTTTAAATTTGCACTACTATTTAAAATGATAAATTTATTAATGGGAGAGTTTCTCTGCTGAAGTCTACATACATTGGTAGCAGTCTGGGGCACCTTCTTAATGCAGATTTTAAATGGTATAGAGAGATAAACACAACAAGATTTTTATCAAGGTTTTTGATAAATGAATGTCTTTGCAAAATTTTACAGCTAAAAAGGTTATTTACTTAAAGAGAGATTTTTCTGTACGTGTAAAGGTCAGATTTTTTAGATTGCTGTGAAATTGCTTCTGCCTTTTAGCAAATCTTCCAAGACGGCTTTTCTCCTTGCAGTGTTGACAAGGACATGGAAGGACATGGCCTAAAGAAATCAAATGAGCAGCATAAACTCTTGTCTGGAATCTTCTGGAACAATAGAGCATGATCCCGCCAAAATCAGCTAGGCTCTACCAAGAGCAGATGATGCGGCAAAATAGTTCCTCAGCTGCTGTAGTTTAGATTCCAGGCATGTTGTGTATGGTGTGTGTGTGTACTGCATGACAGAATCTCCCATATATACATTCTGCTCTGCTTTCCCCCCCTGAGGATATTCAAGGGTATGCAGTACCGGCACCTTTGTCCCCCCCCCCCCAAATGTTAAAAGTGTGGCACTTACTTAATGGTGAGTACCAGCACAGTTATTTTTAAGCGCTGCATTAGGGTGCAGGGGGAGAGAGGCTAGTTCTAGCACTCTCACAAACATGCCATCATATAGGAGAGACAAAAATACAAGCCTTTTGAGATCTTGCTCAGTCTGCATCCTTATTTGAATTCTTTTAAATGTGTTTTTATTTTTTATTGTTTTCCCACCTTAGCCTCCTTTGGGAGGAATAGCAGGATATAAATTTAATAAATAAATAAAAGGGATTAGACAGATCCCAAGCATACAGTTAAAGCACCATTAAAGCACCTATAGTTCTTCTTTTTAAGGGTGCTGGGAATTATAGCTCTGTGAGGAATAAACTACAGTTCCCAGGATACTTGGGGAGAAGCCATGTGCATGTCTGCATCCCCCCTTCTTCTGTTGTTTCCTTCTGTCTAGTTCAAGTGTTAAACCACTTCAGGAGGAATATATCACACCTGTTCTTTGTAAAGTGCCGTCTTTATATAGGTGGCGCTGTATGGATAAAACAAAAAATGCCGCAGGGCTCTTCTTATGTTGTATCTTAACTTCACTCAATGCCTTGACTCTGCATTAAATTTATATTCCACGCTTGTTCCCAAAGCAGTCCAGGATGGCAAACCCCAAGATATAAACTTATTAAAGACATATTTAAAACAATTCCAGTGTAGATGGTACACATGGGAAAAAACCATCTAATCTGAAAAGGCTTGTTGAAAGAGGAAAGTCTTTAGTAGGCACCAAAAAGAACAGTTCTGTAGACCACAGCAACTCCACACACACACACACACACACACACACACACACACATCCCTGCAACCTGTGCTAATACTAAGCTAATACAGGTGGTAATACAGGTGGTAATACAGGTGGACAGAGCTGGGTCAGGATCAACTCCCAGCTCACCCACCCAGGTCTCGGTAGTATATGCCAAATCAGCATTCTCATCCATTATCAAATTACTTGATTCCTTTTGGTATTTTTGTTAACTCTGCTAGTTTGGACCAGTGTGGCTAGACCTACAGAAACCCATCCTCTAGCAGCATAGTTAGGAATGGATTGGGAAATGTTTCTCTAACAACATCTGAACTAAATTCATCCATGAATTCATGTTCTAGAATGGCTTATTCCTCAGACACAGTGAAATAATTTGTAGACAAGTATACAAATTTAAAGCCTTGACCAAATATGATCCGGAAAGCTGTCTGTGGCATAGCTGTCAAGTGTCCCTTATTTGAAGGGACAGTCCCTTATTCCAGCGCCATGTCCCGCTGCTGTCCCTTATTGATGGATGTCCCTTAAATGTCCCTTAAATGATGTCCCTTAAATTTCAAAGGAAGCAGCTCTTCTCCCTCCCTCCCTGCCGGCCAGGGAGGAGGGAGGCTCCAACTGTGTTGCTTGGCTGTGTTGCTCACCCAATAAGAAGTCTAAGAACGACTGCGGGGTGGAGCTTGCATGCCTTGTGTGTGGCTAGTTAATGCAAGCTGCGGGGGTTTTTGAATGCTGGATGCCATTTTGTTGCACGTGCTGCTGCAAACTTTGCAGTGCAAAGCCAGGCCAGGGAGCCATCTTAAGTTTAGGCTACATAGGCCTTGTGATGCATGTGATTCAGATTCTATTCAGTTGAACCTCTGGTTACAGAGTAGGTTGGACAGTGTTCTTGAAGCTACCAGCATGAGTTTGACCAGACTGCAGGAGGACAGGAAGACTGGAGTGCCTGGAACAGGTGAGGCTGGAGGTCCCTTATTTTGGCTGCTGGTCCCTTATTTTCAAGGCTGCTGGCCCCTTATTTTCAAATCTGTAAGTTGACAGCTATGGTCTGTGGACAAATGCTGGCTCCCTTGGCCTGAAAGCGAGATGAGTTTCACACCCCAATCAAGGGCACCAACTTTTTCCTCACTGTATTTGATTAGGGATTAATGAATCTGTGAATTTTAGTTTCTCTCAGTCTCTTATTTTTCAAATCTTAAATTCAGTTGTTCACACTTCCACAGCAATTCACAGTTTTATTCATGCACCAGCAATTTGGCATGAATTTATCCATAGGTGTGTATATGAGGTAGCAAAAATTTAGAAGGTTAGCTGTGTTGGGGGGGAAAAAAGAGAATTAGATAAGTTCTCATTAAAATGCAAAAAAACCCCAACTATTTTATCCCCATACCTTCTGTGGTTACTGCATTTGAGTCTTTTTATTTTGATAAGGTTTTCCAGGGATGTTTTTGTAACATCCTCTTCTCACAACTACTGTGCCTATCATTTGTTATTTCCAAATGTTCAAGTTCAGTGAAAGTTTGACTAGATGCTGAAGATGCTCACAAATGCCTCTAATAGATCTTGCAAGCTGCAGTCTACCGCTACAGTCTGTACAGTGCACTGCACGTAGTGTTTGCACCATGTCATGTTTCAGCTGCAGGGTACAATTTACTTCAAGGGGGGCTCGCAAGTCTCTTAATAGCATCACTCCACATTCAAAGTAATAACTGAAAAGACATGGAGTGCAATTCAAAAGGGCATCGCTGTGACTAAGTCTCACTTGTGATACTGTAAATACTGGAACATTTTCTGAATGTGTGAAATATTAGATCAGTGTTGGATAGAATATTCTATTAATTGAAATTACACGTCCTTATATTTGTCCAAGCCTGCTTAAAAATGCAAAACATTTTGTACCATCAAGGTTATTCTGGGAGAGTTTCTGTGCACATTAAATTGAGGTTAAAATGGTTGGTAAGTGCAGGGTTATATAGTAATTGCACCACTGTTCCTGAAACCACAGATTGCATACATTTGCCAAGTCTTCAGAGAGATTTTTTAGTACAAATGAGAATTCATATGCATTCTCGCCTTAAATTAGAGCTATCTGAAGGAATGTAATAGCATTAGCATTTAGGACACTGGTGATAAAATCAACCACTGATAGCAAATAATTATTACTGAACACCATGCCACTGTTGTCTTCACACAAGATTTGGCTTATCACCAGCTCCGCCCCAAACACATATATGAGCCCTCTCTTGCCAAGTCTAAGATAAAGCTCATGGGGAAGAAGTAATGAAAGTGCTAGCCTACTGACTCCTTTGTCCTCTCATTATCAAAGGAGGAAGGATGGATTGAGAAGTTTGTGAAGGACAAACCAGTTATAAAATTCTACCATGCTACCACGGTATGCTAGCAGTTGCAGTCCATGTGAAGCAATCATAAATCACATTTTCTGCTGTCAGGTCTGATCTGACAGGAACAGAAGAACAAAGTGGCTGCAATCTCCTCTTTGGGAGCAGGCATGTTTGCACATTCATGCTAAGCCATGATTTGGTGTAGCGTTGTGTGTGAATGTGGCTGTGGAATCCAACAAGTCAACTTCCTCTGTGGAGGCAGGAAACAGAAGTAAAAGATCAACATACTCACACACACAAAAATCACCTGCATAAAACTTTCAGGGGGAGGGGAATCACCCAAAGATTATTTTCTTTATGAAGAGAGCAAATGTTTGCAAATTTCCCCCCTCTGCTTCAGTTCATCTTTACATACATGGCACAGACATATGTATTTGTCTTGAAACTTTGGTTGCTGTTTAAAAAAAAATATAGGGGGGGATGCTATGATTTTTCCAAGCATACATTAACAAAAGAAGAAAGGGGGGGGGGAGCAAACAGTCTGTTACCAATACTTACTACCATTACAATTTTTATTGTGACAACTGAAGTTTAACAAAAACATAGTTTAGCAAAGAAGAGAAAAATAAGATTATATCACAATTCAGACTGCTGGGTTTCATAACAGTAAGAATTTCTAGATTTTATCTGATGTCCTATCATTTTACTGCTATTAATTCAAGTTAAATTACCTTTTAATACTGCTGCTCAAGCATTACAATATCGAGATTCACCACTGCAATATTTTATAAATTCAAACTGTTGAAACTTTGTTGATTACTGCTGCTGATCTAGCATAGCTGATCCATAGGCAGGTGGTAATACTATTTTAAATGTGCAGTTATATCCTGCCCTTTATGCTGCATACCCTTATCAACCTCAATCTGCTAGCATTTGCCATGGCACCTCATAAACAAAGGGAGAAAGTGCCCATGGCTGAATATAGATTGGTCTGCCTTATAGAGCAGCTATTCCCCATGTCTGTGTCATTGTTTCCATTCAGCTGAATTAAAAAGCAGAAGAGGATGGTGCTTTCAAGAAATGAAGAAGGAAGAGAGTGCGATATCCACAGGCGGAGTCTGGCTCCATGTAACTCACTGTGAGCATCTTAATTGACGGGCAAGCATGCCAAAGTTTCACAAGCACTAATTTGTTATGAAGCACGGGGTTTCACTTCCTTCAAATTAGAGATAATTGGAAAACATCATCTAGGAATCACATACTATTTACAGCCAGTAGCACCACAAATTAATGGACATGTTCAACTTTACCTTGTGAACGATTCTTGAATTATCATGAACTGAATGCTTAGAGAAGAACACCCAAATGCCATGGCTCCAATCCAAGGACTTTTATGCACCTAAAGCTGCAATACTATACACACTGATCTGGACTGAAGTACCATTGAACAGAACAAGATTTACTCTCAGAGAAACAAGCCCTAGATTGCAATGTTTACCCTCTTGAAATACACAGGGCCACTTAGTTGCAGCTAACTTCCTCCCCCCACCTCTCCCCATAGTCATTTCCCCCTCCCCATAACAGAAATGAAGCGTAACTCAACGATGCATTTGGACTGCAGTCCTTTATACACTTACTTGAGAGTAAGTCCCTTTGAGATTTACATGGCTTACTTCTGTATAGAAACAGACAGAATTGCTCCATTAGTCATCTTCAATGCACCAGACTCAATTATTTCTCTTGTAGGGCAAGTCAGTGGATTAATCACCACCTGCCTCCCAGTTTAAAAAACACAAGGGCTTATATTCTCCCTCTTGCCACCTTTATGTAGCTTTAATTGAATCAGCAAGTAGGCCACATCCACACCATACAACTTCGATACTACTTTTAACAGCCACAGTTTTCCCCGAATAATTATGGCAGCTGTAATTTGTTAAGGGTTCTGTGAGTTGTTAGGAGACCCCCTAGTCCCCTTGCAAAGCAGTTTAACAATAAAGCCCTCTTTACAGCGAACTCTGGGAATTATAGCTGTGGAATGGAAACAGGGGTTTCTTAACAACTCTCAGAACCCTTAACAAACTACAGCTCCCAGAATTCTTTGGGTGGAGCTGTGGCTGTTAAAGTGGCATTATAGTGTTTTAAATGCATAGTGTGAAGGTGGCCTTAGATTCCATACACTAGACAGATTCCCATTTGCGGTTCCATCTTAACCCAGCCTCCTATCCCTGCTGATATAACATGAAGTTTTATCATTAACCACAAGATAAGCAGGAAGTAAGAACATGGGCTGATCTTGAAAGCAATAAAGTTAATTGAAATTGCCAGGATATTTGTTGAAAGAGACTGAGTTGCAATCGGGAGAACCTGGTCGTTCGGATGGGCACTGATGCGTAACATAACATTGTATGGTGGTATATTCAAGTGCTGTATGGAATAATTGAGGCAGCACTTAAATTCCACAGTAGACAATCAGTTTTTTTTGTGGTGTATCCCCTGCCCTGCATATATCCTTACAAAGACAACAATTTAAAAAATTGGGATCTAAATTCAAAGCACAGCCTAGAGTTGTTAATAGATTTCCACCCTCTTTCTCTCTAGCTTCTTTCCAGTGCATGTGTTCAGCTTGCAAGGAAGGGCAGTCAAAAATGAAATGAGATTTTTGCCACTATTCTCACCCTGCTAATTTGTTTTGAAATACAAAAGCCACATACACATGGGATGCTTAATATATAACAATGAAAAATAAATGACATACATTTTTCATAATGTTTTGGGAACCAGCATAATACCTAGCAGGGCCAACATTTATTTAAAGGAATAAATCTGTGGAGCCCCACTAGCAGATTATATCATCAAACAGAACAAGTTTAGACATAAAATAAAAAATGTAATTTAAAATCAAATAATGTGGCCATTATTTTAGAAATGGGAAGCAAACAAATATAAGGTCCAGAGGATAAATGGCTGAACTGAAATGAATTTGTTCAAGGTAAACAGACTAGCTATGTAATAGTATGTATATGATTGACTGGGTGTACCAGTGAAGAAAAAATGAATATTGGCTTTAGCCGTTATCAGGAGCTCCTATTTCTGCGTCTGGGATCATCTCACATTCCTGATACAATCCCTGTCCCCCAAAACCTGAAGTTTTCACATGTAGATAGAATCAGAAGACCCTGTTTTACAAACCTTGCATTAGAAACATTAATGCATTAATGCAAACTAATGTAATACAAAGCATTTTAAGAGTCAGTGTGTTTAAACACTGGGAGACGGTACTTTTGTTTTACGAGCACACACAACAAAACAAAATGAAATCAGCATACAATTTATTTCCTACTTGGGTGAATGTTTATGCACAAGCTATTGTTTAACAGCACAGGCTGAAAGCCAGCCAGCTGCAATGTATTTTTCTCAGCAGTTGATTTCACTCCATGGATGTGTGCACAGCGCTTGATGCCTTTGGTGACAAATGTGTCTTACGCCCCACAGCCATGCATGGTCCCAGTGTAATTGGCATATACGTTACCCAACATGGTTTAACAATTTCTTTGTTAAATACCTTTTTCTCTGTGCCGATGTCTCTAAATTGAAATCAATGAAGAGAAGCACAAGGGCACCATATGAGTTCTTATGCTTGCAACAAGATGCACCAGGCATTCCAAATGATGCTAGAAGTTTATAAAATGTTTCTAGCTTATTATATGGGATGGTAAAAAAATGTAGAAATATGAACCACCAAAACCAAAATTCACAGTTCTATGGCAGTTATTTTACTTAGTGAGGATATTCGATTGTTTCACAATAATCTACATATTTCTCCTCACAAAAACAACAGCCAAGCCTTGGTCAAATAATCACACAATCAAACCAAACTGGCTGTCTCTCATTAGGTGTTTGTAGAGAACAGAAGTCATTAAGGTCGTTGATGGCCGCTAAATACTTCAAGTCAATGGGATTTGGGTCACCTCCCACTGGCCTAGTAGAAACACATCTGTGAAGTTGGCTGAAGAGCAATAGAGATTTCAGACATCTGACAAGAAACATCTTTAAATGTATTTCAAGTGTCTGCTGTTGATTTGGGAGGATGCTATTTCAGAAGGACAAGTGTAATGGGTATATGTCTATGGGGCTGTCCCTAATGGTCACTTGTCAAACACATTGAGGAGGGCATACCCTTAATGTAGTCTTTGCCCCAAGTGGGGAGAGTCCAAGACTGAAGGTCTGAAGGCAGGGGCGAGCAATGCACTTCCTTTTTGTTTTTCATGGTTGGACCATTTCTGGTGAAGTTTGGACTGGTAGCAACAATTCCCCGCTGTAAGGTTGGTGGGCCCCTCCTCAGAGACTGATGGAATATGATGTACTCCTGTGCGCTCTGGAGGATTTTATAGTGAGAAAACTGATTATCCGTTCAAAGCTCTGGTCATACTACTCTGCATTTTCTTCTCCTCAGTCTGTGGTAACCAATGAATGTGGCACAACGAAAAACATGCAACATCCTGATGTCAGCCATATTGTGAAATGCTATTGGGGGGTGGGGTTGAGAATGACATGTATGTGTGCCATTTATTTATTTATTTGCACTAGCTGCGAATTTCTGGCGTTGTCTTCTCTTTAAAAGGAATGCCTTCAGATGTAGCTGGTACAGTTTGTAGGAATTTGGAAGCGTTCCCAGGCACTAATCTTAGTGATGCTGTCAAAGTTTGATGATCCTGATTCTCATCGTGACTTTGCTATACCCACAATATTCTTAATGCATTTTGAGGCAATCTCCCAACATTCCTGGAAATTATATTTTTTTCCCTGCATGCAAATGAAATGGAGAATATTGCAATTGTTTTGTAGTAGGCACACTACTGTGTTGAGCACAGGTTGGCACATGGTCATTCACTGCTGAAACTTAACCGACTCTAAAATGTACATATATTTAATGGCTGAGCCATAGGCAGCTATGATTTGTCCCCAGCTACATCAGTACCCTTGTGAGAAAAGGAGAGCAGGTCAACCAGAGTGCCCCCCCCACCCCCACCCCCCCGGTTTATCCTCCTGTCCCATGAACCTTTCACTGTCAGCTGGTGAAAGCATTTTTTCTCCCAGACTACCTCTGCCAAACAGCCTGAAGCTCTATTAGGTCTCTTTGAGAATATATCAAGGTAATGTGCAGTTTGACTTTTAGACATGGGGTGAGTGAAATAATAGGTCTGATGAACCAAAGTCAAAAGCTTGCTAAAAGTCTAAGAAATTGTTCTTAGGACAAAAAATGTTTTAAGATAGAACTAGTTGCATGCAAACAATCAAACTCACAGGATCAATAGAGTAGAGAAAATAAAACAGGTAAACAAAACACATCAGTGAAACTGTTTCTTAGCAGCTACAATTCTGCTTAAGCAAAGGTCTTACAGTTAGACTTCTTGAAATATTACTGTAAGTTGCAGCTCCCTCCAGCTAGCAATATTCCAGTGTCAACATGTTCTTTTGTGTTTTTTTACCCTGAGATCCACACCATCTAAAAGTCATCCCAAGTAATAGGCTAATTATACCCTCTAGCTACCTTTGATCATAACAAGTTCTCACTCCTGTCATCAACCATGTTGCAGCATTCTGCACTGGTCTTTCTCTGGCTTGATTCAGAGCCCAAAACCTCCCAGAATACCAAGCAGCCACTCTGGCTCCACTATGCCAGGAAGGATGCTTGGGAGCAATCATGTCAACTGCTCATTTCATCTCCATAGCCAGACCAGAGCAATGGGTGTGTGTATGTGTGTCATTGTCAGCAGCAGTACATCAAGGCAACTGTTTTGTTTGGCTCTCAGTTCTGAATTTCTGAAGAAGGCACAGAAAAGGCAATATTTGGATTGGCCATGGCGATTTTAAAAGGCATGCATGTGAAGAATTCACAGTATAAATGAGCGCAGATACTGAGACTCCCTGCTTTTGCAACCTTAATGTGAATATTCTGAACGGTGAGCTCTGCACACCTTGAATGAAATAAGAGGGGAAAGTGGGAAGCAGAAATAAAGATCAGAGAGTTCATACCTAAATGATGATCTGATTCATGGTCACATTTATGTGTTCCAGAAGAAGCTGAAAATATACATCCCCTCTATATGTTGGTGCTTGGTTTCATGAATTCTAAACAAAGATGCCTGTGTTGATGACAAAGCTGCTTGATTTTGCTTTCTGTCTGACTTAAATGTAGGCAAAATGTAAAATATTTGATACTAAGTCTGACTACACTTTAAAGAGCTGATTCTACTAGTTGAACTAATAATATATATATATATATATATATATATATATATATATATATATATATATATATATGGTGCTGACTAGATTGACTTGACTGATCATAGCAAACTGAATTGTATTTTTGTAAGGCTCTTCAAGAGGCAGCCAAATAAATAGCTTTTTCCCTGCTGCATGGTTTGCTGTTTGCTTAAGCAAAAATCCAATTTCTAGAGAAGACTCCACGAGGGCTAAATTCCCTGCCATTTACAAGTGTCCCATTAGAGTAGCTTTCTATATGGAAATAACATTCCAAGACAAGGAGAGAAACACTAGGTCTGGGGTCCACTGTTCCTGATGTATTTTATTATTTCTTTTCCATTTGAAGAGTAGAGCTGTGTTCCCATGAGAAAGACACAAAAAAGGGGAGGGAGTAATGTTTGAATACAAATGTCTCAAGGAACTGAAGCATCTTTAAAAGTAAAATCTCTTTCTTGGTATGCATCAAGGACAAGGAGAAAACTGACAGCTTCAGACTCAAGCTGCCTCCTGTTAAAAGCTTTTTAAATTAGGGATTCAATGTAAAACTCCTGCTGGAAAAGCATACATGAGAGGTGCCGAGATCTGGACTTGATTACTGGTGCTTTCGTATATGTAGTGCAATCATTTATTTGAAAACAAGTCCTTTAAAAATAAAATGTTGTGATGGTATGGCAGTTAGATGTTCATGGTTTAGCAGCAAAAAAGACACATACGTATGAGTTACCAATGTTATCGTGTGCCAAAAGCAAGTTAAATAACAACAGCTTCCCTTGAAAAAGCATGGATGTGCATTTAATTTAGAGCTAAGACAAGATGTATGTAACATCCAGTGTCTTCCATCATTGCATAATTAATACTGAAGAAACATGTTTTCACAAGTCTGTTGTGACTTTTTTTTAACAATGCTGTCTGCTTAACACTGCAAGTCGCACTTAATTGGATGTGCTTTTTTAAAAACATGTAATTCTTTTTTCTATCTTTTCTTCTTTTCTTTTCTGGTGAAGGAGTAACTCTACAGGCTTCTGGGAGCAATTAAAAGAAGGAGGAGGGGAAAAAAAGTTCACAGCCCAAAGGCATCCCCTAGCCTAGAATTCTTAAATGGCATGTCCTTGCCAAACAGCCACCTGTGACAGAGGAAGTGGGCAAATGGGTCCTGTTACTTAAACATGCAGCAGCATTCCACCAGCTTCATTTTTCTTACAATGGATTTCTGGGCTAAGGATATTCATTCATTCAAAAAACAAAAAACGCAGCTTCAAAACCATTGCACCATCAAGTGCATGAAGCCAAATTCATGGGCAGAGAAATCCAAAATGCTGGAGGGAGGAGGGTTCCCATATTTCAAGAGATAAAATCTGGACAGAAAAAGTTGTTGAGTTTTTTTAGGGCAATCATACAATAACTGCTCCACTGCCGCCAAGGCAGAACCACCCACACCAGAGCCAGAACCATCCGTGCACGGACACACACACACACACACACACACACAAACCCAACAACCCCAAATCCAGGACATTTGCTTTAAAATGTAAAATTTCACACACACACACCCCAGATGGGTATGTAGAACCCCCCAAAGAGGACATGTTCGGAAATTCCCAGATGTATGGCAACCCTAATACCCAAGGCAGATGGACTACCTTTTCCCTCTTTTATTTTCAGTTCCACATACAAGTATTCTCTCTCTCTTAAACCCCTTTCCCCTCCTGTAGACACCGGGGGCGGGGGACTAATTAAGCCAATTCCAGGACTGGCAATGTTTCTTCCTCATTCAGGAGAAATATTAGGATAATGGATGTGATGTAGATCCTTCCTCTCTCCATCTGCCCCCACAGTCTCACTGGGAAAGCATCCAATGACAGATCTCCCTCTCTGAGGGCAGATCTCTTTCACAACTCTCTGAAAGGGAGATCTAACAGATCCTATAGTCCATCAGATGCCAGCCTCAGATGCTGAGTGATTTCTAGGAAGTACTAAGGATGACTGAGCTGAAACTTAACACTGTGTTTAAGACTGCTTTGAATGCCTTCACCTACATTTTGGCATTGCAAAATACTGGAACATGGCTTCTTTCTTGATGCTCCCCATTATGTACCAGATCCAAGCAGCCTCTCCTGAATTCAGTGGTGCATCTCAAATGTTGCAAAGTGGCCTCCTTTATTCTCTTATTCACCACCCATTCTCACAACCATGTCAGCCAATTACACCCTGAGATGATCCTTACTTGATGTGTATCCATAAATGGTAGGTTCCTGAGTTTAGATTTATTTCACTAAAATAATTATATCCTACCCTTTGTCCCAAAGCTGCCCAAGGTGGCAAACATCAGAAAGATAAAACAATGCAAATTAAAATAATATAAAACATTTCAAAACAATTTATAAAGATGTAGAACACAAGGAAGCATTTAAACATGTCCTCACAGTTGCTAATTTCAAAGTTGCTGTGACCAGTATCTTTCAGCCATCAAAAGTGTAGGAATACAGAAATGTTCTTAAATTTCTTTGGAAAATCAACAATGACAAAGACAGGCACATCCCACTGGGGGGCAGGGCTGGTTCCACGAATGTGCAATACCACTGAAAAGGCCCAGTCATGAGTCAACACTACCTGGGTAGCAGCCACCTCCAACAGGGCAACAGGGACTATGGTGTTTTTAGGATATATTGTTTCGTTTACATATATTTACACCCTGAGAACAGAATGGAAGGACTCATAATATTAACACTTCAGGATATTGCTTTCTTATTAGGTGTTGGGTTGTTTTGTTTTGTTTTGTTTTGTTTTGTAAGCCCACAAAAGCTAAAGCTTTGGATCCAGCACACCAAGAAGGCAAGCCCCTCTCTCCACAGGTTCCAGTTTACCCAAAAACCACACACTCAAAAAAACTCAGCCTATTGTTCTCTTTCCTAGGGTGACAAGGCTAGTTCAGCAGGTTCTTCTTTGAGATTCTAATACAGAATCACAGGTCTGGAAGGGATTCCTATCCAGACCAACTCACCAATCCCGTAGCTATATGGTAATGATGAAAGCAGGCATGGAGTGTAAGGGCAAACCACACCAGCCCTCCTAATGTTTAAAGGAAGAGTTCCAATAGAGTTTGTTGTTGTTTAGTCGTTTAGTCATGTCCAACTCTTCGTGACCCCATGGACCAGAGCACGCCAGGCAGTTCTGTCTTCCACTGCCTCCCGCAGTTTGGTCAAACTCATGCTGGTAGCTTCGAGAACACTATCCAACCATCTCGTCCTCTATCGTCCCCTTCTCCTTGTGCCCTCCATCTTTAGCTATCTCCAATAACCAGTGGTCTTTTTCTAGAAAAAGAGGTGCTGGAATTCACCTCCTTTATTCTCTTATACAGTGGTACCTCGGGTTACATACGCTTCAGGTTACAGACTCCGCTAACCCAGAAATAGTACCTCGGGTTAAGAACTTTGCTTCAGGATGAGAACATAAATTGTGCTCTGGCGGCATGGTGGAAGCAGGAGGCCCCATTAGCTAAAGTGGTGCTTCAGGTTAAGAACGGACCTCCAGAACGAATTACTAAGTTCTTAACTCGAGGTACCACTGTAATGGCAATGGCACCCACCTGAGAGGCACCGGAACTGATTTCCGGTGAGTTCCGGCTGAAAACAAGCCCTGCCAATAACCCACAAGCTTAGGCAAACTAAAGTTTTTCAAAACTTAGAATTCTTGAAGCAGATTATTTTAAAATAGCATTTGGATATGTCATATGCCACTTACTGGCATATCCTGAAACTTATGCTTAAGGCAGTAATAATAAATAAAGCAGTGTGTTCACCTCATTCCAAATACTTCATTTTTTCAGAATTTTATAGTCAATAGTTTAAACCTATTTTAAGAACCCCTTGCAAATAGCCCTTTTCATGATGACTTTTTGGAAAGGATTAACAACGTTTTAAATATAGCTCAAATATGCACAATGTTTCAAGAACTGTCATTAAAACACAAGAGAGTGTTATCCAAACGATATCAAATCAACCACCATGCCCTTATTACTGAACTTTCTTGGCAAGTATTATGAATTGGCTTCAGGTTGCTGCATACATACCCCATCTGTACTGCTTCTGCTCAATAACGCATTCAAACTGCCTGTGAGTATTATGAGATTTAATATCAGCTTGCTGCGGTTAAAGCAATAAGTAAGCTAACTTCTTTACAGTTAAATCTGGGCAGCAGTGACTTCCTAGTTATTAACCACCCAGTGCTATAAATTCAGCCTGAGCTATATATTAACTCACAGCTCCAGAAACAAGGAAGGAGTTCTTAGCACGCTTGTTTCTGTCAAGTCCAATGCTAGTGATTTTCTCAGGAGCAAAATGGATAGACTACAACAATGTAGTGTGTAGCGTTCTTAGCTTACACAATGGTATGAAACTGAAACAAACAGAATCATGTAGTTGCCAAAATGCTCTTTAAAATACAAAGATATATAAAGTAATTGTGTATGTGTGTCCATTACTATTGCTTAGCTGACAGCAAGACTTCTGTTAGCAGATCAACAAGGGAAGAGCAATTTCCAACCTTCCCCTCTAGCTATCAACTTTCAGATTTCATAGCTATCAACTTTCAGATTTGAAAATAAGGGATCAGCAGCCTCGAAAATAAGGGATCAGCAGCCTCACTTGTCTCAGGGTCAGTCTACGGGATATCTAACAATCCAGCGGGAAGCAGCTGGAAATGGCGCTGGAATAAGGGAATTTCCCGCAAAAAAAGGGAAGGTTGACAGCTATGTCCATACCTGCCTCCTCCATCTTCTCAGAAGTGTTCCCCAACCCTCTGAAGCAGATTTGGAGAGGGTGTGAGGAGCTGTAAGGAGAAAAGGTACAGGTGGAAATTACTTCCCTCTTCATTCCACTGATGTTACACCCCTGGATACAACCGTTTTTCATCGGAATTAGAAAGAAAAGAAAAGAAAAGAAAAGAAAAGAAAAAAGCCATTCATGAAAGCAATCAAGACTAAGGGTTCATCCAGACTTCTGCTTGCCCCATGTCTAGAAAGCACAGTTTTCCACTTCTCTCACCCCTTCCCTCAGGAAAACTTGCTATGTAGTGCTGAAGCAGAGCAAACTTCAATCCACGGAAAATCCAATTGACATTTGCTCAGTGGAGGCTCATGGGAACAAATGAGTCCCGTGAATGCAGCAGAACTCAGATTCCCATAAGCAGTCTCTAGAGCAGAGCACAGATATAAGTGAGGGTGTGCCCAAGAGGAAATAAATGGTTCTGGGTTACAACAATCTTAATATTGTGATACAATAATATCTACATACTGATTCACGTATACTGGCCATGCTTTAGCATCACTTCTACGTGACACTGCCAGATGCTTCCCCCTCCCCTCAAAATTAGAGGTAATTCCAAAAGCAGGTTGCAATGCGACTCCGCACTGAGTGTGTCTGTCTTCTCTGAATAGGGACCATAATCTGTGCATACAAAGGCATCTAAGCACACTGTGATATTGTAGTACATAAACTGCACAGCAGGTTGCTATACACCACATAAAAATCCTAAGTCCTCATTTCTGCAGTATGGGTGATACGGCAAGTTCTGTATTTGACCACAAATCTCCTTCATTTTTGCCAGTATATGTGGAATTGGAGAGGATCAATAAAGGGAAAATCTCTCCACCCAGTTTTTTGACACCTGCCCTCAAGGTTACCGTTGACAAAATCCCACTCAGTGTAGGCAAAGCCTTGAGACCAACAATTGGTAAATGTTTTGGGATGCATAGCATGCTGCCAGTGCATCTATCCAACCGTGTAGAAAATCCACAGGATATAAAAGAAAGCCAGCTAGGTGCACGCTGGCCTGCTATTTTAAAACAGGTCCGCAGTACTTTTCTCACACAATGCAGTTTGTCATTGAACTATAAATTGCCTTTTCCTCAGTCACTCTCCAATATATTATATATATTGTAAGAAGGCGTAATAATTTATACAGGAGAAGCAAGGAACCAGGTGGTAATGTGGAGCTTGTTTCACTTTAACCAAAATGTGAGTATATAATATTTTCAAAGGCCCCAACCACTAATTTTTAATCTGTCCCCTCCCCCTCCAGCTGTTGACTGGAAGATTTTCACAACTGTGGATTGATAGAATTGCTTCAGACATCACGTTTTTATAAGGCTGATGCTCAAAAGCATTTAACAAAGTGTAAGGTGTGCAAGAACGCACATAAATATATGTCAAGATTCAGTTTCCGCATTTGTGTGAAACCCAAAGAAATGAAAAGATCTATATGTTTCCGAATTCTTTACTTGCTTAATAAAGTAAAAAAAAGGGGGGCAAGAGATGTCAATGCACATCATATTTTAAATAATATTTCAATTTCTTGCTATGATTAATGTGGATCCGATGGAACTTTTTTTAAAACAGCTTTACCAAGCTGTTTATGGTCTGGCATGCTGCCACAGAGTGATCTATAACCCCACACCTCACTATTATGCAAATATCCATTTGGCAAGGAGACCTGAGACTTCAGAATTTCTCTAAGGACAATCATATCTTTCAAACTCCTTAAACCAAATTATATTTGACATTTAATTTTAACCCACTTATCCTGAAAAATAACTTTTAAAACCCCTCCTGTGTAAAGCTGTTAATGCAGCAAGTACATTTTATTTTAATTCTCTCTCCCCCACCACACCGCCATTTTGCTTTCTGCAGTTGGTGTCAGTGAAGTTAATTCAGTGGTGAAAAGTATATCTTTTTATTGTACTATTGAGAACATTTAAGTTAAATGTTAATTCTATATAAAGTAAGTCAAAATGTAAAAACACAGGAAAATTCAAGTTCAGGTTTATTTTAAAATCAAAATATGCCTGAAAAGAGCGTATCATATGCCTTCAAATATGTTGTATGGAAAAGTAGTGCTTCCAAAAAGGTTGATTTTAAAACCTCAAGTATAGATGCTGGTCATTGAAAGCAGGAAAGGTCAATTTATAAAGTATTATTTTATTAAAGGAACACAGGGTGCTGTAACAATTCTAGAGAACATAGGATGTGACCAGCTCCAGCTTCTCTCATTTCACCATAAGGTCACCCAAATTCTCTCTTCTACACAGTGGTTAAATTATAGGACCTCCATCTTCCTTTGTTGGTGCTTAACCTACTTGGTTCATGCTTATTTACAAGAATCCCTGAAGCACTTTTAAGATACAGGGTAGACCTACTTGGTCAATTCTATCCCTCAGAGAAGTACAATCATCTGATGGGAAGAGATGATGTTGCTCAGGCTTGCCATCTTCCATGACCTGGGTGGGGTAGATCTCAAGTGGGGAACCCACTCTACACATTAATGCTCCCCATGTGATTGAGATCCCGGCACAATCAGTATTCTAAATAAGGGGTGGGGAACCTCTTTTAGCCCGGACACCTTCTGGGGGTGCTGGAAGGTCCTGGCAAGCAAGAAGCATTATCAGAGGTCCAGGACAGATTCCAGCCAGGCAAAAACACGTGAGGTGTGAAACGGGGCCACTGACTTCGGTTGGTCACCGTCAAGGGGCCTGGTAGGAATTTTTTTCCACCTGGCAAATTGGCACCAGCCATTTGGTTTTTCACCTACCTTGTAGCAAATCATCACAACTTCCTCGGCATTGGTGGTTAGGCATTGGTAAGGGTATTGTTATGCAGATGAGTGGGGGGGAGGAAGCGCCATCACCTTCCCCCATATCGAAGGGTAGTCCGGTAAAGGATTCCGGGGGGCGTTGCCCTGTCCGAAGCCTATGGAGGTGTGGGCCTAAGGCACCCCCCCCGAGCAGTGACCCCGGGGGATCTCCTAGTTGACGTGCCTCAGCAGGACTCCCCCTACTGGTGGTTAACCCTTGCCGGTCTTCTAGAATCAGGCTGAAACCGGTTAGTCAATAGGACCAATGCCTAAGCCAATACCGCTCAATTCCTGTAATCAATAAAGTTGTGGTCTAATTTTGCCCATTAACCTAAAATACTGGTGTCCTGTGTCTTTATTTCCATGAGGGAGGCGGGAACTCGCCACGCAAAGAGTTCCAAGGGGCAGATAAAGAAGCATTTTGGCTCTGGGCCTGATGCTCCCCGTCCCTGTTGTAAATCATATGGGGAGTCTACATGCACAGAACAGGCCCCACATTTCAGGCCTTCTCCATTTGATGCATGGAAGGCAGCAGGGCTGGGCAATGGGGTTGCAAGAAAAGGGGGCACAGCCAGTGAATGTGGCCCTACTTGCCCTCCTCATAAGATGAAGGTGAGCACCTATACAAGGCTGCAGCTTAATGTCCTTGACACCAAAGAAAAGCAATGTGGTATTTTGCTTGATGTGGACCAAATTGTATTAGACTAAAAACCCTTTCCACCTGTCTGCAGTGCCATGTCTGCGGGGGTGACAAGGAGGCACCCCGTGGGGGCTCACGGTGGCACAAGCAGCCATCGTGCCGCTGCAGCTGCATGTGGAGGATCCTCCGTTCGTGAGCAGAGGATCCCGGCACCGTCCGTACAACAATGGTGCGGCAGCGCCCGCAAACTGCTATGTACAGCGCATGTGCGGCACTGCTACGTACGGTGCATGCATTGTATGCAGTGACACCACACATGCGCCCTACATAGCGATGCCCAGGGTGTCACGACACCTTTGTTCGCCCCTGTGGACAAGGCTGGATTTATCTCTCTTTCCTCTTGGGCTCCTGTTTACGTAATGAACAACTTTAACTACCCTTGCTTTATCAATGAGTAGAGCAGGACTGTGCTTCTGATTGTCCCATGTATCTAGTTTGGCCTGAGTCATTATTCTTAAGAACAATTAAAAGGCCCCATGTTTATGCCTAAGCAAGCAATCCTTTTACTTCAAATGTGAAAAACCCAAAGGGGGGGGGGACACCACATACCATCATGCCACTTTGATATACATTGGTGCTAGTTATTATAAGGGTAAGAAATAAAACAAGCACAATGATTTACTTTTAAATGCATGGATTTAATAATCTTTGAATATATCAAGAGCATGCTTGTGAACCTTCATAAACACTGCCAACCTGCTGTTGAAACACTGCATATGCCTGCACACTTGCATTTAATATGCTGCTTATGCAGGTATAAATGTGTTCAGGAAACAGAGACCTCTCCAGGCCCTGTAGGGAATAGCAGTGTTTGGTGTTATGTTTGCATCAGCTCTTATCGATCACATATATAAAACTGTCCTTCACCAGGTTCCCGGCAACAGCCCTGAGTACCTTGCACCTTATATAAACTTAAGATGGCAGGGCCAAGCCTAGTTTTGCAAAAACCTTTTGCAGCTGGAAGTGGATATGAAGCTTGCATCCAAGGGAAATGTCAAGATTTCAAATTAGCCTTCTTTTCAAGTCAGAAAAGAAAGCCAGAAAGAAAATAATTCATGTATTCATGATAACCTTTTCAGTAACCTATAATATCCACTTTAGCTCTTTATCTGAGTTGTTCCCTTTTTTTGATAGATGCTTGTGACCCAGAATCAATCCACCCACCCACCCACCCATCCAACACTGAGTGATGTTGTGTCATGAACCTCAAATAGTGTAGGATATTTTGTAAGGATCACAGTGCCTTACAGGTATCAGCAAAGGCTTGGAAACAGTAGTCGAAAACCCTTAAGCAATCAAAGACTGTGGAGGGAAACCTTTGGTTTTCTACATTGATGTTTTTGCTGCTCTGCTTAAACCGAGGCAACGTGCTCACTTTGTAACTGCAATATTTTTGGTTAATTCTACTACCGTCCTTGAGACACCTCGCAAACATACACTTCTAGTTATATTGTTATATACGCATTGCTTACAATGAGCATCTTCACAAGGATGCATCATTTTAAATAATATAATACTTTTGTTCAATCCACGTTAGACAATGCTATTGTAAGCTTCAGCTGGTAGAAAATGTTGCAGCCCAGCTTCTGTTAAATGTTAGTTACTGAGTAATCCGTTTGCCACTGCTTTCGATCCATAGGTAACACTGGGGAGGGGGAAAGAGCACTAAGAAGACAGAATGCATTTTGAGGGGGCAATATTATTCCTGAGATGATTTCTAAAAAATAATTGTGCTTCTCACATTGATGTCTGCTCTTCTAAACATGCTGGGATGTGTCCAAAAATGTCCCTAGAAACTGAGATCCACTAAGCCATGGTTCTTAACATGGGTCACACCCCCCACAGGGGGGCAATTTGAGAATGGGTTTATTAACAGTTAATGGCATTTAGCCTTCCTCCACGTGAATAGGAGTTCACTTTTTGAATAATTATTATTATATGTCACGGGGGGGGGGCGTGTCAGGATTTTAGAGATGCTTAGGTGGACATGGCCAAAAAAAGATTGGGAACCACTGCTGGAAGAAAAAGGGGAAAAGGGAGGGCAGGCAATTCTTGCCAATTGCCCCTGCAAAATCATCATACCACCTCCCACACTGTTCTAGTTAGTTACCAAACTTTCTGGAACTATCCTCCTGGAATTTTTTGGAAAGAAGATTTTTGTGTGTGGTAATTGTTCCACCTTGGATGCGTGGAACTATTTCCATAGCTGTTTGGATTAAATGTGTGTCCCCCCCACACCATTTCACACTGATTTGATGACTGAAAAATGCTGCTAGCAGAAGCAATAGCAAACCAATTCCTAGTTCAAATATCTCTGCCCTGAACTTGCAGTAGATGGCTTTCATTAACTCAGTATTCACACTGTCTCACTGTGCACAACTCATCCACCCTTGAGCTAAATTGCCAGGGCTGGTTGTTGTTAAGTATTATGAAAGACAGAGGCTCTTTGGGTAGGTGGTTCCTATATACGTTCAGGAGATAGGCAAGTTACCCTTTATAGCTAAGGTCACACTCACTCTGAAGGAGCAGTTACGGAGATTGGGGTTACTCCTGAATACATCTCTGTCATGAGAGGCTCAAGTGTCCTAAAAATACATTTTACTACCTCTGTCTGATTTGCCAGCTAGGGCCATTCCTGGACAGGGAGAGCCAGACCACTGTAGTCAATGTGCTGGTAGCCTTGAGGCTGGATTCCTGTAATGTTCTCAGTGAGAGGCTGTCCTTGGGCTTGGATTGGAAGCTCTGGTGAGGGCACATGGCTGAGAACATCTGCACTGGCAGTCCATCCACTATTGAGCCAGGTTCAGGTCCTTGTATTAATTTACAAAGACCTGAACAACTTAGGTCCCAGGTATCACCTGAATCTTTATATCCCAACTTGATCATCAAGATCGTCTACCAAAAACTTTAATGCTGCCAAGCTTATGCAGGCAATTAAGATCTTTCTGCAATAGATAGCTGATGATCTCCAATATTAATTCCCCCCCAAGGTTTTTGTTCTGTAAATGTGTGGTTGTAAACTGCTTTGCTTTTTTATGAAACGGTGATACCCAAACATTTTTTAGAAATAAAAGAAATATAAATGGCTATGATGAATGGGAAATACTTTGGAACTCTAATACTGTGGTACCTCGGGTTACAGACTTCAGGTTACAGACGCTTCAGGTTACAGACTCCGCTAACCCAGAAATAGTACCGTTAAGAACTTTGCTTCAGGATGAGAACAGAAATTGTGTGGCAGTGGCATGACGGCAGCAGAAGGCCCCATTAGCTAAAGTGGTACCTCAGGTTAAGAACAGTTTCAGGTTAAGAACGGCCCTCCGGAACAAATTAAGTTCTTAACCCGAGGTACCACTGTATAGGAACATCACCTCTTCATCTCAAAAGCCTTATTGGTTTTGTTATCACTCCTTATGAATGCTTGCAAAATCCAAATGGCATAGGCTCCCATTCTGAAGAGAGAGAGAGAGAAATGAATGGCAGGTGGGAGCCTTTGTTCCCAGACAGACATGCAGACTGGGAGAGTATCCCAGCTCACAGGCAGGGAGGTAGGCTGGCTGCAGAAGTTAAAATCACACTTCTGAGTATGCTCAGAACTGTTGCAGACAATTTTGCATATGGATTGACCCACTGGATAGCATATAAAAACAAAAAAGGAGTCAATGAAATAAAAAATACACAGGTGAAAGAAGAAGTGATGTGACTGGAATATGCTGTCCTGATGCTAATTCCAAATATTAAACTGCATGATAAGCCCATCATTAGAGCTAAGCAAATAATTCACAGTGAATAATTTATTCAACAAACTCTGCTTCTTTTTTTCCTGTATACACAATGTCCGTGAGTAGATTGCAATTTCCCTGAATTTATTCATGATTCACTTTTACGCAAATGCTTGTGAATCTGTTTTTTTAAACTCAAGGGCTGTCCATGAGCAAGTCTGAGTATTATGAATTGGAGTGTTGCTGGTTATGAAGAGAGATACTAACTGGACTTATTTCTTCTAGTTTTCAATTAAAGTAATTTGCATTTAAAAATACAAACTAAAGTTAGAAGCAACTAATTAGACTGGGAATCCTACTTAACTCAGGTGCTTCATTTAGGTTGCAGTACTTAATATTAAGGGCCCAAAATATAAGGGTTATTATTGTTTTATTTTTGTTTAGCTAATTCAACATCTCATAGAACCTCCTAGTGGTGCACCAATAAAACTGCTAGCACATTTACAAAGCTAAGCAGCATCTGGTAGAGTTTCAAATTAGATGGGAGACTACATGTAGAGATTCCTGGGTTGCTGGGGTTTGGATTAGATGACACTTGGGGTGCCTTTCAACTCTATGATTCTGTAAGTCTTACCAGTGTTTGAGCCTAAATTCTTACTTGTTTGGGAAGGCATGGGTAATTGTAATCTATGTAGAAAAAATGTTTTCTGGAACATTTACTACCTTCTGTCAGCTTCTAGAGAGAAATGAATCTTAGAATCCTAGAACTGTAGAGTGTGAAGGAACCCCCAAGTCCAACCTCTGGCAATTGGAATTGTCACACAAAAGCAATTACCAAGTCTGTTTCCTTATTCAGATCCACCTGAAGTCAAAGAACCTGGTAGAGATAGATAGCTCAGATGGTTAGAGTGTAGTGCTGATGACACCAAGGTTGCAGGTTCATTCCCCGTATGGAATAGCTGCATATTCTTGCACTGTAGAGGGTTGGACTAGATCAGCCTTTCTCTCTTTTTTTAAAATAATATTTATTAGTAGTTTTCAGAATTATAAGAAGAAGAAGAAAACATTAAAAAACAACACTATAATAGACAAAAAAAGGGAAAAAAAACAAAAACCAATAGAACAATACAACAAAAAGATAAAAAGAAAAAAACAACAACACAAATCCCAAATTACGTATCTAAAACTTCCATTTGCTTGTTTCATTGACTTCCTCACACCTCCCTTTTTGTATTCTAGTTTAATTAGTTATTTCAGCAAATTCTTTCCATCTTTCTCAATTTTTGTTAAAAAAATTATCCTAACCTAATTTAATCTAATAATTAACTCAACCAATCCTTTCCATCTTTCCCCGTATTCTATTATTCACATTACCTTAATTAATTTAACCTTATCTTACCCTAAAACACCTTAAAGCTTGAATCTTAGTTATCAAATATACATTACTCCTGATATCATTTCTGCTAAAGTCATATAGTTTCATTCCAACATTTTCCCTAATATTCATTAATTTTTAGCCAATTCCCCAAATAGAAAATTTTCTTTATAAATTTTCTTCCAATCTTCATCCAACGTCCCTTCTTCCTGGTCTCGGATCGTGTCAGTCCTTACTGTCCATTCCATCTAGTCCATCAACCTGGAAGCCTTATGTCCGAGGCCCTTAAGTCTCTTCCATGTCCCTTCTGCAATTCTTCTTCTTCTTGTTTATACTTGCCCTTTTCCTTGTCTTTTGTTGGTCTCTTTCTTAGTTTCTTTCCTTTCTCATTGAGGGGTAGGCCTCTGGGGGATTCCAAGCCAAAATTGTCTCCATCTCCCTTCATCAAACCCGCCCATTCCCCACAGTCCCACTCCCCACAATCCTCAATATAGTCCAAAAAGTATTTAAAAACATATTCCAAGGTCTCTCCAACGTTGGGAACCTCCTCAACTCCAGATGCCCCCTGGCCCACCCCAACTTCAATCTTCAATGACAGCGGCTCATACTCCTGTAGGGCCTCGGGACTCTCCATTTGTATTATTTGGGGTGCAACCGCGTCCTCCTCCATTATCTTCTGCACTTGCCTAGTCAGTACAGATTCATGAGTTGGTCCCTGGATAATTTCTGTATCAATATTCCCTGTTTGCCCACAGTTATTAACTGCAACAGTCAAATCCATTTTCTCATTCATCAAGTCCATCTTCTCATGCATCTGTTCCAGCAGGGCACTTGTCTTGCATAAGGCAAGCACCCGTTCTTCTTTCCAACTCATCTTTAGTCAAGGTCAGAAAAGCCTGTTCCCACGGTCTTAATCTCACATCTGTTGAGCCCTCAAATGTACTGCAGCAACAATTTGACAAGCTCCCTCTAGAGGAGGCAATTTCTATTTGTAGCTATTTTTTTTTTTTAGGCAAGTCCAACAAAGGAAAATTACTTTCGTTTTTCAGATATTTTGTTTCTTTAAGATGCAAAAGGCAACATTGGAATCAGCTTGCTTCTCTTCTTTAGCTATCTGTCAAAATATTCCATTGACAGTCAATGAACCTCTCCAACAATTTCTGTCTCTGACACCCCGTTCCCAGGTTAGAGATGGTGGAAACTTATCCTTCTTCACTCCCTCTCCTGCTAGGGTTCCCCCCCTTTTCTCCTGCTTCCAAGAGGGTTTCAGTAATTCTAAATGAAGGAAATTTAGACTTTTTTTACAGCTTTCCAGGCTTTAGCTTACAAAGTTTTTGCTTTAGTCTATATACAAAAAGCGGAAGGCAGACTTCCTGTTTTGAACCTTCTTGCTTCGTTGCCAAATTAAGAAATTTCTTGATCCAATTTTCCGTTTCTACTCACGGGTACTTGTTTTAAATCCAATTGTCCACAGGAAAAAGTCAGCGCTCTCCAGCAATGGCTGTGCGGCTTCACTCCGTGAAAGTAGCAGTCAGTTCGCAGCACCGCGCTTCTCACCCCACTTCGCTCCGGAGCCCCTAAATGGGATTCCCTGCGAGTAGGGGGGCGCTCCTGGTGCCCTGCCGAACCCCACGTTCCCAGGCTTCCTCTGCCTGGGATTTCTAGCGGGTCCCCACCTTCGCCGCGGCGGGAAGACCCAGTTTCCACGGAGCCCGTTCCTCCGAACGGAGGAACTCTGCCATTCACCGATGCCGCTGACCCGGAAGTCCCTACATCAGCCTTTCTCAATCTGTGGGTCCCAGATGTTGTTGAACTATAACTCCCATCAACCCTAGCTAGCAAGGCCAGAGCTCAGGGATGATGGGAGTTGTAGTCCAACAACATCTGGGGATCCACAGGTTGAGAACTGCTGGACTAGATGATCCTAAAGTCCCTTCTAACTCAGGTCTCTGATTCTCTGACTCAAATGTTCATCTAGCAAACCCAAGTTATATTAAGCAATAAGACAGCAATATGTCCTCCAACATTACTACTGTGTACATCTGGAATGATCCTTCTATTGGTTCTTTATATCTAAAGCTGGCAAATGGTGAGATGCGTAGAGATTCAATGGAGATCTCTCTTTCTCTCTCTGCTGTAGGTCATGTACTTTACATGCCAAAGGCAAGTTTTAAAAGGAGGAGGTAGCAGGTACACCATCTGCCTGAGATCCTGGAGAGCAGATGGTAGAGTAGATGACACTGCGTTAAATGGACCAAAGATACAAGGCAGCTTCCTATATTAGTCTAAATGTCCTAGAAGGTGAATTGTGCTTTTCTTTCTAAAAAAAAAGGTCTGTCTTTTACATTTCTGATTTAAATGAATTTTATTCTTCTCATTGAGTTGTGCCTACTGATGTCCAGTGATTGAATACTTTTGTTTTTATTCAGCAGACTTTCATCACCAGAATGAGGAAGAAAGGCATTTTTCATATAGTCAGCCTCATCCCTGAATCCCCATCACCCAATCCTCTACAGACTGTTGGAGGAACCTTCATAACACAGCAAGGGGGTGGTTCAAGGAGGGTGGGCAAATTGGTGAAAATAGCCTTGCTCCCTCTGCTGGATCAAGAAGCCTTCTATAGTGGACAAACAATATATCAGATATAATCCATTAAGCTCATCAAGGCTTTCTTTCTTTCTTTCTTTCTTTCTTTCTTTCTTTCTTTCTTTCTTCTGGTTTAAGAAATTACTTTCTACTTTCACAACTATTTTTAAAGTACCAAAAATTATAATGAAAATTGCTTCAAATGTTACAAATGTGGAATTACATTTTAGTCCCTAATGTGTGAAAAGATTCCAATACTCTTCTTTAATTGATTTCTTCAAATATTTAATACTGCAAATTTGGCACAACTATGCTGATTAACTTTGTCCAACTCAAATGGGATCTTATAGATTCTATCAGAGATTATTCAAATTTCAACTCGTGTCAAGCCCACATTACCTAACTAATCTAACATTTATATATTTTCATATATATTCCTAACCTTATTTTTCAGAAGCCAGAAGAAGAAAACCTTTTCAACACTCTGCAGCATCACATCTATGAATGATGCATAAATCATTTAACACTTATTTTCAGGGTATATTATCTCCTGCCAACTCATTTATTCTCATGCTGATAATCTTGCCTTAAAAGTCTAGTGTTCTGAGGTACTAAAGCATTTCTGGAAGCAATCACATTTGTGGTAATTAGTCAGCTGAATAGTCATGAGGAATGGGATACACTTCTTCATCCTGTCAATTCAGAGCTCCAAATTGTTACCACAAACAGATACCTTATCTCACTCTTGTTGGATGCCATAAATACGAATTTAGAAAGATAATCTTTAGCTACTATTTCCTATAAATTGCTTCACTGGGTTGAACACCACTACTAATGTATAACAGACACAACTAAACACATAATTAATCATATACAGAATGAGTCATATACCGAGTAGTTACATTGATTTCAATGGGTCAGATATAGTATGGCTAAGAGTGGATATCTATCAAGGCTTATATCATGATTTCCACTCCCACCAGCAGAAAACGCAATAGGGGACTTTCCCCTGATTCTCCCTCCCACAAACAACAGCACATGTTTCAGGAGACTGGGGGTTCTTTTGGCTCAGTGGGGAGGTGTAGCACTGGGGACTTCAGGATGAATTGACAAAATATAAAACACCAAGTGGCACTCAAGCAATAAAAAGAACAATTTTCTTGCGGCATAAGCTTTCATAGACCACTTCATCAGATGCATGAAGGATTTGCTTAAATTGGCAGACATATAGACATATGGTGAGGGCAAGGGAATGGAAACAAGTGAGGTAAGAGCAAAATGAATCACAGAATTGTATTAATGCTGTCCTGTACAGGGATCAAACCTGCAACACTGGTGTTATCAGCCACCACACTAGCCAACTGAGCTATCGCTAAAGATAGTGACATCTACATAAAAGCAAAGCAACTACAGTGTCAGTGTGATGTAGGTGTCAAAACTAACATCATGGCATTAATAACCTAAATCAGAATCACAATCACTCAAATAAGAAATTTGAGTAAACTTAATTTGGTTCCAACATGATACATATTACTGACCCAGCTTTTATTATCTGTAAAGGGACGGCTACATGTTTGTTAATGGGTTAGGGAACACTGCGCCCTGCAACCCCCACTTCATTCACCCCTGTTCCAAGAATGGATCAATCGTTATTCTCCAAATTTGTTGAGGAACTGAATTATACATCACATAGAAATACAAGCAGCAAGGGCCATAAATTTTCCAGGAGTTTGAACCATTTATATGCCCTGCAGCATGAACTATGACCTTCTCTTGTATAAGACCATCTACAAAATGTTCCAAGTAAATCAGGTGCAGAAGAAATATGATTACTGAGCAATCAAATGTTAACCTCCAAGCTTGGAATCAGAAAACTTGAAGAAAGTTTGGGGCTTTTTTTTATTTTTGATCCTGAAATCATGATCAGTCAGCACATTTAAATCAGGATATGAATCTGTTTAAACCAATGTGTGGAATCTATACATTTTATAAATTGTAGGGATCTTCTTTAAAAATTAATTTGGTGAGAAATCTTATTTGTGCCCAGAAAAATTACACAACCAAGCTGCTGATGAAAACAAACTCTCAGTTTGAAAGAACGTTACTATAGTAGCTGCAATCATCATAGTCTAAAATCCACAAATGTTTTAGCTTACTAGAAGAGGGCAATGCATTACATTCTGTGCAGGGATATAGCCACAATTCAGCTTCCTCCACCCACCCAACACTATGGCTCAGGAGCACTACTGCAGCCAGCTGAGATTCGTAAGCCCATGTCATTCCTCCTTTATCCTCTTTGGCCTTTTGGGCATCTGACCAGCCGACCCTCCATTGCAGTGCAGAATTACAGCTGCTTTGGGGCCTCGTAGGAATTGTTTGCCTGTCCACAAATTGGCCAAGTTGGCCAGGAGCTTTTGTGTATGCATGTCTCCTCTGCACTGGAAGCTGAAGGCCAGTAAGAACGTAGGAGTGGCTGTTGTTAAATAGGTTAATTGGTCACATTGTCTGAAAGGAAAGTGCACCTTTGAAGGTGAGGGGCATGTATCTCTGGGTTCGGTGCCCTTAGCCTCAATAACATCCCATATCCAAGCTACCTGACCACACCAACCCAGTAAGTAGGTAGGTTGGGAAGGAAGGCCTCCCTACTCACTAGAAGACAAGGCTCAGACCTTGGGGTTATGCCTCACCAGACACCTTACCATGATCAGCACTGGGCTCACGGCCACAACAAAGATTAACTTCCTGCACTTCTCATTACCCCCAGCAGATGTTATTAATAAAAGCTGGTCCCAAGTCTTATGGGTCCGGTCACAAAATGGCCTGCAAAGAAAGATGTTGCACTATGCCTAGTATTGCATGGTAAAAGTGTTTGACTCAGTTCACCAGACACTAATCCAAGGGGCAGGCGGAGGTTGACCACTGAAGACTGATCCAAAAATGCATTCCTTTTTTTCTTAGGGATGCATCAGTTGGGTGAAACAACTGCAAACATTCCTGAGTATGTTTTCATTCTTTGTATATCACATTGTTGTTTTATTGCTATGGCCAATGGCTGACGCAAAGAAAGGTTCATTCAGTCCTGAGTATGACTGATTATCTGGATCGATGGTGGTCTGGGTTCATCAACAATTCTTTCCTTGGGTAAAATGGGTCTTAAGGCTAGTACTGTTAGGAACGATACTGGTTACTTCTGTCTTAATTGGAAGTGTGTGTTTCAAACAATCCTCGTGCATCTTCTTTTTACCAGGCCTTACAATACCTGTATAGACATCCATCTTTTTCAATTTAATGGAATATGCATGAATAGGTCCATTTGTATTTCTCTGCACATCAAAGACTTGCTTACCAAACAAGCTAATCAATTTATCAGACCGTTTTAATTAGTAAGATGAATGTGACTAGTCTGGCTGTGCACTTGTTTTATCAATTATGTGACATTAGTGGGAATACAACATGACACTGATATTGAAATTACAACATTAACCAGCTATACAAACTAAAACCTAGTCCTTAGAAATTCTCATGCTAACTGAATATTACTCACAGAGAACTGGGAAAATGATACTAGCAAATTGCAACAATAACATTTTCAGTAACAATGGAAAGATGGATGGGGACTTCAAAAATATAAAACTGAATGTAAAATGTTCCTGCATTTATGAAATAATAAAAAGCACACAATTTTTTATCAAAGTTGATAGTGTTCATGCTAAATCAAACATGACAGTGGAGGTTGTATTTTACTGACATGCTCTCTGTTAATGTGCAAAAGATAGCTCAGTTGGTAGAGCATGAGACTTTTAATCTCAGGGTCTTGGGTTTGAGCCCCTAGTTGGGCAAAAGGGTCCCTGCATTGCAGGGGGCTGGGCTGGAAGACCCTCATGGTCTTCTCCAGCTCTATGATTCTGTGATTACCGTATTTTTTGCTCTATAAGACTCACTTTTTCCCTCCTAAAAAGTAAGGGGAAATGTGTGTGCGTCTTATGGAGCGAATGCAGGCTTCGCAACTATCCCAGGAGCCAGAACAGCAAGAGGGATCGCTGCTTTCGCTGCACAGCGATCCCTCTTGCTGTTCTGGCTTCTGGGATTCAGAATATTTTTTTCTTGTTTTCCTCCTCCAAAGACTAGGTGCGTCTTATGGTCTGGTGCGTCTTATAGAGCGAAAAATACGGTATACCTCTTGCTTTTATATGATGATACCACAAGGTTTGTGGGGGGAGGGTTGGTTGGTTTGCTTTTTGTCGTGGTGGATTCTGCAATGTTCCTGTTTTAAAATCCAAAAATTACAAAATGTTTTTGACCATTGCTGGCTTCACATAATAAAATATGAAGTTTTGGGCCAGGGGTTGTTTAAGCTTCCCTGCCTTGCAGGGAAACAGCTGAAAAGTCCTGCTGAAATATAATGCTGATAGGATCTGTCACAGAGTGTTGACAAACACAGATACCATGAGAAAAGTGGAAGGTTTAGTTAACAACGGAAAAATCCTCACACATGAGATAGGGACAAGAGGAGCAAAATGATATATATATATTTTGAAATAGCAAAAGTGAATGAGCAAGGTGGGGTGAGGAAGAACAACAGGGTGATGGAGTGGCCAGTCCAGTGCAGAGGGGACATCTTGCCCAGGATCCTCTCCAACTTGGAAGCACCATTGTTTACTATCCTCCTTCAGCTGAAAATTAAGCTAATCTATGCACAGGTAAGTACCAAGATATGTCTTCCCTCCCAGTTTGTAAGTGCGTTTTTAAAAAATAAAATAAAATAAAGTCAGCTGATCTAAAAGAGCAAGTCTAGAATGCATGCCTAGCCAGCAATATTCTGAGGGGAATTTAAACTGGTAGGTTGTAATCCAAGGGGGCAACAGCCCATTTGCAATCACTCCCATGTACAACACAAATTCAGATAATTTGCAAATGAAGCCAGCATTCTGAAATATTTAAAATGTGCATATCAGTGCAGATTTAATATCAATGAGCTAAATTGGCAGGCTCCACTATTTCTCTCCCTCTTGCAAACACCACATTTTTATCAATGACCTATAGCAAGTTGTTCCGCCTCTTGGTGTTGACAGTATAGTACCCTTTGGGATAAGATCATTTTTCCATGATGATAATAATAGCAATAAAACTAATAATAATACTAAAAGAAATGCGTATTAAGAACCAAGCTTGTAAGCAACTTATCCAGATGGCTTAACTAAGGAGTTTTATAAAAAGCTTCTCTAGTCCTTGGTGAACTCTTATATTAGCTAGCTTCGAGGGCTTTAGATAATAATTATTTCATTACCGGTCTGGCTCTCTTTATACAAACAGCTTAGCTGTTTAACCAAACAAAGAGTCAAAGATGCTGAAGTGGCAATGTAGGCTTGGCATTTATCAAGTGAAATCTATAAAGGAGGAAGAAGATTAATATTTTGATCAGTGCCCTAGCATTTCACCCGCAACTGACATCCTCCAAAGCAGTATGTGAAAATCATGCCAAATATATTAAATTCATTAGGTGGTTTATATGCTGATTTTCAGCCAAGAGGGGCTCCCCAAATGGCTTGCAACAATTAAAACCCAACCACAAAGATATCAGAGGTATTTGGATATATGTACATGTCTCCTCCCACTCGACATTTACTAATCACAGTACATGACAAACAGCAACCAGTGACCGTCTCTTGCAAAAGGCAAACAGGACCTCTTCTGGGGAAATCAGCAACAAGTAAATGCAAGGATCGAACTTCAAAGCTCTAATATGAAGTCCAACATGGGAGTCGGGAGAGGAAAGGGTGGAGGAGGGGACAAAGGGCAGTTCTTTGGAGGGGTGCCAAAAGCCAACAACTAGCTTGTTATGAAACAAACAAATGGAAAGAAGAATAGCCTTAGCTGACACCCTCAGCTGACTCCTGGATCCCTCCAGATCTTTTATTATTGTACTGAATTGCATTCTATTGAACGACATAGGGAAGAATGTATGACATGGTTACTTAAAGTGAATTGTTGGGGGGTGGGTTCAAAATAAACTTTTTAGAAATCCTGCAGTCATGCCAAGCCAAAACTTAGGAAAGTAAGAATTTGCATTGTTTTTTTTAATCAAGATTGTTTATTAGATACAGAGGGGGTCCAGGTTTTTTTGGAAGGGGTGACAGAATGAGAGCCTAAAAATTCATGTCACCTTTGCATTGAAAATATTGTCCTTTGTTCAAAATCCCAATTGCTCCTTACAACGACCTGTGCAGATCACTCCTCTGCTTTGTAGTGTCACATTTGTAACATTTAGCTATGCAAGCCTATGCATATTTACTCAGAAGTAAATCCCAATGTGTTCAATGGAATTTACTCCTTTAGAACCCTTTTTTTTTAACTCAAACAATGGGTGATATAAAATACCTCCACTACAGGACATATTATATGGACGTTATACCAAATTCCCACCTTTTCCTATCCCAAATTATTTCTCATGTGGACTAATTTCCATTTACTCTACAATCCACATATTCCCCTCCTACACTTCTCTACATTTTCTTGCTGCCCTATCTATCACCTCTAGTGTGGCCGGTCTGTTTATGTATATGTGCCATCTGGAAATATTTGCTTGGAAGGTCCCTTTCTGCGACGTATATGGCCTCTGTTAGTTTAGCTCGGATTATTAAATTTATTTATCACTTCACACAAGTGAAAGGAATCCCAAAGTGATTTACAAGAGAAGTAAGTCACTTGTGCTGCACCCTCTCTTGCAGAAGGCAAAAGCAGGGAATTTTCTAGAGAAAACAGCAAAATGATCCAAGGACTCCTTGGTCTAATATGCACTTTAAAAAGGAGCAGGCGACTGAAAGATGCTTTCAATTGGAATTGTGGGTGGGAGGAAGAAAAGAAAGCAAAGGATAGTTCCTTGAAGAGAAAGTGAAAGCCAACATGGAGCACAGGGCAACTGGAAAGCCATGTTGTTGTTGTTGTTTTAAAAAATCTTTGACTGTTGCTAACCACTAATGCAGAGATGGGAAACGTCAAGCCTCTAGACCAAATGTGGCCCTCAAGGTTTCTCTATCTGGCCTGCTGAACTGTCCCCAATTCATATTCCTCACAGCCCCTGCTTCACAGCCTGAGTATTGTTTCCTGGTTGGAATGTTGCCATCAACTTGCTTTCCTGTGTGGAGGATAAAGGCACGTGAAAGCGTAGAAACTAACCTACCTATTGTACACAGCTAGCATTTGCTCTTGTCGTTCCACCTGATTTTGCCTCTTGTTCTACTCAGTATCTGAGAAGGTTACCAATAAGGGAATGTGATTCTCTGGATGGGAAAGTTTCCCTGACCCCGACTTTGAAGTCCTAAATGGCTCAGGGCCTGGTGACACATTAGATCACATCTTCCTACAAATGTCTAGCTGGTCCTCGAGATCATTTTCTGACATCCTTCTCCAGGTGTGGCATGTATGGAGTTTTGGGATTGTAGTACCTCTGGTGTGGAACATGTGCTCCTTCTGGGGTATTTTGTCCACCTTTGGTCCCCACCCTGCACTCACCTGGGGCTCCTAGAAGCTGTCAGCATGTGACAGCGGCTACACCCTGCAAATGGCTTTGACTGGCAGGCTATACCTGGTGAGGGTAGCTGATGGGACTTCTCCTGTATGCCTCCTCTGGAGTATTGAGTGGACAAGACCAATAGAAGGTCCAACAATCAAGAAGGTTGTGCTGTAGAGGGAAGTGTGGGGCAGATGGGGCTCATCAACCTGGGAAGGTAGGAGAAGGAAAATCAGCCCTAAAGCTCTGCTGCTTTGTGCGACATCTTTGGGAGAAGAAAAGGCTAAGGAGTAAACAACACAAATCCATAGTGGATTCCCTAAGATGGCAGAATGGCACCTTGCATGCCTCCTTCCAGCAACTCCTGCAACCAAGCTGGTACCAAACATTTTGCTCTGCTCAAATGCTGATGTTTCGCTCCTTGCCCAAGCAAAACAAGCATGATGAAACATTAAATTTAAAAAGGTTTAAAATCCCACCCCCCACTGCTGAGTACATTGTAACTTTTCAGCAAGTATGGAAATGCGGTCTGACGCTGCAAGTGTTTAACATCCACATCTGCATGTAATTTATCCAAGTAAATTACAGGTAACTTATCTCTTGGAAGTTATAAAAAATGCATGAATGAGTTAATAAGCATGACTGGAATAAATGAATATTAAGTAAAGCACGCCATATAGATAGTTCTTCCCTGAGCCACTACTGCATGCCTCAGGTGCGCTGAGAAATGCAGAGCTAAAGACTGCCTGAATTCAGCCATCTGAGAAGTGTGGCCATCTCCTAGAAATTGACTAGAAATTGGCAGTATTTACACTTTTAACTAGTACTGTTGAGCTGGAGGCAGATATCAATGTTTCATTAGTGGCAATTTTATTCTTTAAAGGCTGCTACTCAATGTGTCTTGTACCATACTAATGTCCCAGTACTTGCATTTATTCTGAGCAGCCAGAGAGGAATGAAAATATAGAAGAGGTTGTCTCCCATCCCCAGTGCAGTTCAGAGGTTGCCCAAGTGAAAATGTCTACATGCATATTTTATCAAAATTGCAATCTTTGACCCCAAAATTGCATTTAAACACCCAGGCAGTGTGACACCTGGATGACGCAAACTTTGTTTTGCATGTCAGTTTGAGAGAGTATTGAGTTTTCATACAGGAATTCACAAATACTGAATTCCTCAGCCGTACCCATTTCCTTGCTGTCATGAATCACCATAGAAAACAGAACGCAGCATAGTCTTGACTCGGGTGCTCTGGCACAATCAGCAACTGCTTGGGTGGATGTATACATTGAAATGAGGCAGTGTTATCAAATTATCATGAAGATGGATTCCTAATGTGGAAAGCTGAAGTTTGTGTATGTTTGGTGTGTAACATAAACATTTCAAAAAGGTCTGTTTACCTGATTTCTGGGAAAGTGTGGCCATGGCAAATGGGGCTCCCTTCTGCAGCACGGGCTGGTGTGTTTGTGTGGAGTGAGTTCATGCCACTTTTGCCAGCTATGCTGGTTGCTGGGGCCTCTTTCACGGGCAGCACAGTCAATCACATTGACATGGCATAGGGAGAGGGCAACAGGGCAGACTTCACCTCACAGTCTTCCCTCTGGTCCACTCCCTGGAATTCTAAGCTCGCCATGCCCATGCCTTGGATACAGTTCTCCTCCTTCCTTCCATTTGATTTGTGTTTGGTAGCTGCCCAAGTGCAAGTGGGCTAGCTTCTGTGTGCCTTGCTACGGAAGTGCTTTGGTCACCATTTGGGGGGCCAGGGAGAAATTTCCCCTTGAAGCCAATTGGCTGGTCTGGGGTTTCTGCCTAGCTCATAGCAACTGTCAGAACTTGATGGCAGGCAAGGCGCTGAAGATGAATCCTTCGACTAAGTGTGTGAGGGGTGGGGCTTCCCTGAAATGCAGTTAAAGGGAGCCTGGGGCAGGAGCTTCTTAGCTGGATGCCCAGGGGAAGACAGGCCATAGCACCCCCCAAATGTTGGCCCAGAATTGATGCACATCAAAGGGTCAACCCGTAACCTTGGTCAACCCTGTCAAACATCAACTGGCAGGCAGGCTGGTTGATGTCAAGATACATACCCAATGCCTATGCCAAAACCTGCTGATATCGGTAATCAATAAAGTTCTGGCGTGTTTAATCCCTTACTGCTGTCATCTGTTTTAATTCTACCTATGTTGTATTCAGCGCCTCTTCTGCCCTTGGCCCCACAAACATTAAGCCCTATATGAAAGAGGACTTACATATGTCCTAAGTAAAATGTCTACACCATGTCTATGACAGAACATTGAGGGACCAGGTTTTAGTAGATCGCCACATTTTTAATGCTTGAAATTCATCTTTCATTAATGAAAAATTATCAAAGTCCAAATCAGAAGACCTTGATTACTTTTCTTAGAATCTCCATTGGTTTTCATGACAAATAGCGTGAAATCATGTCACACTGCAGTAGCCATGGAAATGATGTATATTATCTCAGTGGATATTGCATTTTGACAGGCAGCAAGATGGGCCTTGAAATCAGAGATCTAGAGATGTTCGGGGTGGGGGGGGGGGAGAAACAAACAGAAAAACTCAGAAACCTTTGCACCAACCAGACTGAGACACGTCCATTTAACAATATGTGCGTCCCAATGCATCCAACCGCAGTTTAGTATGAAAAAGGTAAAGATGGAGACACAACATTCTCTGCTCTGTAAAATTAAAAGATGGAAATCCCAACAGATAGATAATACCTGCTTGAGACATCGCTCTTCCAGTTCACAGATGCTGCCAAAAGCAGGGTTTTTGCTTCTGCTAATATTGGTTGGGAAACATTAATATTTATAGCTTAGCAACCAGCAGAGAGATAACAATTATTTATGGTGCAGGAAACACAGACAATGGAGCAAAAGAAATCCAGTTTTCCTGATCAAGAATCGTCTTCACAAACACAGTCTCAAATAAGTCTGTTCAAGCTGGAGCGGAACATATTCATTATGAAAGCCTGTATTACATTTTATTTTTCCCCTCATGCCTTCGCCTGAAAACTCCCACAGAATAATATTGGGTGGTTATTTTCTTTTCTTCTTATCCCCCGAAAGTACAACAAGCAGAGCCATATCCTTTCTGACAAATGACCCCTCAGTATGCATTTCCTGATATACTGTGTCATAACTCTCTCATCACATCAATGTTCTTCTGATTAAAAGAAAGAAAAGAAACTGCTGCTGCATTTTGATCTAGTGTAAACCAAACCTCCTCATTTCGTAAAACATCACTTTATGCAAATATAATGAAAAACTAATTATTGTCTCCCACCAAGAAATCCAAACAATGTATTAAGACAAACAATGACTGTATTGGTCTGTCAGCTCTTCTAATATTACTCTAAAACTTGTGTCCCTCAAATGAATAATTACCTACAAAATAATTAAATGTTGCTGATATGGTGAGCACATCCCACTTGTACATAGAACAGCAAAGCTTGTCTTCCCTGAAATCCATCTCAGTCATGTTGGATGAGCTTACTGTCCATCACACGGCTGGCATCGATCCCTGCTCAATTACGGAAGAAACATAGCACCATATTAAATGACAAATAAGGCTTAATTTTAATCACAGGCAGCCTGTAAGTCCATGTTTCATTATAGATTAAAGGAACCAATTATTTTTAAAAGAAAGATTTAATGAAAGGCCCTTAGTAATATATGGACATGTTGCCCTCTCTGCATTTGCAAGTCAAGCTCTCCAGTAATGGTTGAGAGACTCTGCAAACAATCTCAGCATGCAGTGAAGATGTTCTCTGGGGATTCATAGTTCTAACTTAAAAACCACTAAACCACACAACTTCAGGACATTCTCTCTGTAATTATACCAGAACACATCACCCTGAAAAACTACATTGGACAATAAATGGTGCTTGTACATTTGTCAACTGCATCGGTAGAAACCAATACGCAGTTTAGGGCTATAGTCGCAGGGCTATCTAGGATAATCTAGGCCCAGTCCATATGTTAATAGGACTAAATGGGTCCCTGCAGTAGGGGACTGCATGTGATGTCAATTCAAGTGCCTTGTGTATATCGTAACACTTACAACAGCCAATTGGTGTGATCTTTCCACACTATTTTGGAGAGGGAAGACCCATGCAGTTTCCTGACCTGCACCAAAAAGGATGTCATAACACAGGAAGGGGTATGCGCTATAGGAGGAAACTTGGCTGGTCAGTAATTGCATGATCAGCGTACTTCCCTACATCAGGATCCTCCCTTTATGCTTAGGTAAAGAGAAAGACTGAACAAGCCACCAATCACTCTGACAGTATTTTGTGACATACACAAGAACATGGGGTTCTGCGTCATAGCAAGTCAGATCGATGTGCAGCTAGCTCAGAATACAGAAACTAGCAGTAGCTCTCTAGGGTCACAGGCAGGAGTCTCTCTCAGACCAGACTAAAGATGCCCAGGATTGAACCTGTGACCTTTTGTCTATGATGCCTATGCTCCATCACTGAGCCACAACTCTTCTCCACAAGTTTGCAGCTGACAAAGTGAGTTTAAAAACACAAGGGTAAGTTGTTCTGCATGCAAAACATTCTTCTGCTTACAGAGAGAGCACTGTTTTCTTAATACAAGCAAACTCGTGCACAAACCACAAGAGAGAGAAAATACCAGAATTCAGATTTGTCCAAGTGCACTGGCTGTTTTGCTTTATTTACATGCCTCACACTGCACATTTGCTTGTTCAGGGTCTTGCACATTCATGCACTGAGATGCTTGAGTATCTTATTTTTTTGCACACAGAGCCCTCTGGCCATTGTTTTCTGCAGTATTAGTTTGCACAATGTTTCCTGCAGTGTTATTTTACTTACAGAGCTCTGACCCTGGATCTGCCACATACAGAAAGACTCCTGAACAGTATCTAATTGAATGACAAACTATTTTCAGACACTGGACAGCTCACATGATAGATGCCTGTGTATTGATGAATATCTACGTGCACTTATTGTCAATCCTATGAAAAACAACCTGAACCTACAAACATAGTGTGTGCATGTGAACTATTTGGTGGATAACATGTTTGTGCATAGGACTCATGCTACATCTAGCAATTAGGTTGTATGAAATGGGCTTCAAATCAGTTCAATCATATAGATCAGGATCTGCACTAGAAAGCTTTTCATGCATAAGTGATGGTTGCTCTGCAGAGGTCTTCTTGAGAATAATCAACAGTGCTATAATATAGCACAAATAATGACAGTTGTTACCATGGTTTCCAAAACGATTCAGAGTTAACTGTGGTGCACAGCTGGACAATAAATCCATAGATGAAAGAGACAATGACTATTGTTTTTACTTGATAACCTTTAGAGATATAGAGTACTGTAGGCTTATTCTTCATAAACAAGTTGAAGATAATTAATGGGAAACCTGGGAATTTCTTTATGCAAAATACTGTAATGCAATGCTATTTCCTGAACACCAATTTAATGACTAAGAGAAATCCAATTCAATCAATGATATAATTCTTAGTATTCCTAAACTTTATTAGCCTCAATAGTTAGCTATCAGTCATTTAGTTACTTCGGTTTCACTAATGATACCCAACAATTTGCAAATTATAATTAATTTTTTACAGAAGCAACATCAGATACCCTATGCAGAAAATCCTATTTTCCTGAGCTGAAAAGCCTGATGTAGGAACAGAGGCTCCATCAGTATCTTTACATGCTTGTTTTTTTGCAGGGAGTCAGACTGAATTCAGCTCTCTACTCTTACACTCCACAAGATATGTACCACTGGAAACAATTTGTTTGGAATAGTGCACACAGATCTTAGTTTCTGAAATCAGGAAGCCTTGTATGTGAGATCATTCAGAGCACATTTTTTCTCCTCTTTGATTGAGGGAATTGAATAAATACAGCAGGTGGAATCCAGCTGGCACCCTTTTAATCCCCAACAGAAAAGGAGGGAAGGAGATGGTTGGGAATCACCACCCCCAGATAGTTGAGGGACCCTCAGAACAACATGGAAGGTGGCATGTGGGCTGCAGGGTGGAATGGGAATTGGTGTAAATTTCATCCCCTGCTCTTCTGTTGCCAAAGGCATCTATTGGATCAAAAGCACTTTGGCAAGTGCTAGAGCAGAAATCAGACTCCACTCATTGCTTGCAAATATACTATTAAGAATGGCATGTGCACGGTGTAGCATGAAAAGCTCTTTGCATTCCCAAACAGTTTGAGCCTTATACACTAGATGCTTTATTTCTGCATCTGTAATGAGAACAGAAAACCCGTATCAAAGAGGGCATGGGTTTGGTCTTTAAATGGCTTCCTTCCATTTTCTGTCCTATGCTAACAGCATTAGCACATGCATTCATACACCACACCAGAAGCTCAAACAGATACTTCTTAAATATTTGAAGTACATGTCCCATTTACCCACCACTGACACTTAGTCATTGTCACATCAATGAGAAAGTACTTTGGACATGGACACACACACACACAGCCCCCAGAATTATTACTAATAATAAAACAACAGAAAGCTAACGTTTAAGAAAATATTCTACAAATGAGAAAAAACTCTGGTGCAAAACTTAATTGTTTGATGTGCTTGTACCAAAGACAGAGAGAGACATCATAGGAGTAGGCAATCTTTAGTCTGTCAAGGTAAGTGGTGAGCTAGACCTTCTTCTCTTTCTGCCACCACTTGACTCTCTCCCCCTGCCTCCTTCTCACCCCTTTTGTGCCCAGCAGTCAGCTCTAGCCACAGGGCTAACTAATAGCTTTCACAGGAGTTTTGAAATTAGGACAAGGGCTACAGACAAACCCAGTTGCCACTTATAGGTTGCCCCACTGAGCCATAGACATTCACCTATTGAACTGCTAAGTGACCGTGCACTGAGTCTTTATAGACAGTACCTTGTATCAGTGGGTGATTTTGCTGAGAAATGCCTTCGTGGTAGGCTAAATGAATAAACAATCAATCACTCTCTTCTTCCATAGTTTCTCAGTCTTATTATAATTGCCACATAGTGAAACAGAAATAAAATCATAAGTTCTTCCACAGCATTGTGTTTCCCACATCTAATTATTCAGACATTTGGAGATAGGAAACTTTTACCCCAGTACAACAGAATATTCTTCCTCCCACATTCTCCCTTCCCAGAATATATCCCAGCTAAGCACTGTTTATTTTATATGCAAAGGAAGTTTGTTTTTTGCTTGCATAATTGAGTTATAAATAAACTGACCATTTAAAAATTTCCTTCAAGGTGTTAGCAAAAGAATTGTAGTTGTTTTCAGGTGATTATGTAAATTCTTCTACATAAACAGGTAAGCAAGTATTGCTTTTGCTCTAGTACCTAGGACCATTAAAATATCTCAAATAGAAAAGCAATTGATCTTCAAGGCACTAAATGAAGAATACCTCCAAAATATAAAAGGTAAAGGTAAAGGACCCCTGACAGTTAAGTCCAGTCGCGAACGACTCTGGGGTTGCGGCACTCATCTCACTTTACTGGCTGAGAGAGCCGACGTTTGTCCGCAGGCAGTTTTTCCAGGTCATGTGGCAGCTTCTGGCGAAACCAGGGCAGCGCACGAAAATGCCGTTTACCTTCCCACCGAAGAGTTACCTATTTATATACTTGTGCTTTGGCATGCTTTTGAACTGCTAGGTTGGCAGGAGCCGGAACCGAACAACGGGAGCTCACCCCGTCGCGGAGATTCAAACAGTCAACCTTCCAATCAGCAAGCCCAAGGCTCAGTGGTTTACACCGCAGCACCACCTGCATCCCATTTCTCAAAAATATAGGTCATAATAATTACTTCCTTGGTTCCTTTATCTCTCTCATAACATTGCTTTAAAAAAACACTTCTCAAAAGAATGTTTAGCAGGATAGCCAGTTCTATAACTTTATGGTCACGCTCCAAAGAGTCACATCTAAAACACCGCAAGCAGGCTTTCTCTGACCTCTTTCTTATTGCAGCCCCTCATGGTCCTGAAATATGACGGAACATCATTTCTACTGGCAGGATCCAGCTGAAAATTAAAGTTGTTAAATCATGTCCCATATTTGAGTGGAACTGTGCGAGGGTTGACTCCAACTTATGCATATTATTTTCCAAACTGAATTGTATTACACAAATATTTCATAAATTTCTCAGAAGATGGAATACCACTTTGCAAGTGACCTTGTTTATTGAGTACTCTTATACTTTCATATTGATATTACTTGCTTTTATGGAAAGTTTCTAATCTCTCAAAATTCAGACTACATATCCAGAATATTTTTAAGGCATTAATTTCACATGAGTTTAACATGTAGGAAATAGAAAATGTGTAAAAGAATAAATTAATGCTATAAACTGGCACATAAAATATACAAAACTCCCACTCATATTCACATTTCCAGACAACAACTCAATAATATACTCAAGTATTGAAATGTTTGTGGAGCGCTTTTTTATGTTCTCATTCATAGGCACCATTTTGAAATTATCAGTCTCATTCTGGCTGCATTCAACTCTGAAAGCATTCAATAACCTTATGAATTTAACCAAACAACGTTTACTAACAAGCTTCAATGTAGTACAATGCAGAATTTCTGACACAAATACCTGGTGATGAGTAGAATCTCATATCTTTAATTATTGTTGCAATTCAAATGATGAAAATGTAACTGTGTACTCACCTGGAACCCAAAGGTTGTTGCTTCCAGGAAGTGGAGATAAAGTCTCTTCTATGAAATTCAAGATGTCTTCAGTGACTTTTACACTGAGTGACTATATCTACAGAAAAATACAGCTAAATGTTAGGAGAAGTTGAATTCATGGGGTTGAATTCAAGTCTGTGGTGATCACAGATTTAGTTAGTTAGTTAGTTAGTTAGTTAGTTAGTTAGTGTGTATACAATCCTTCATCTGTAGATCTCAGGGAGGGTGACAACATTGGGTAAACCCACTGAAATCAAAGGCCATGACTAGGTTAAGACCACTGATTAAAATGGCTGTGCTCTGATTATGACTGACTTGGTCTCAACCCAGAATTTGTCTGATCTCATATTCTACAGGGAAAAAGTCAACTGATTTGAGAGCTCATTTCAGGTTTAAAATTATTCATGTAGATCTTGCTCTTCATCCCTAAGGAGATCAGAGTTCACTAAAAATTATAGAACAATATAACAGACCAACAAAGAACAAAACCCACAGCAGCAAAAAAAAAAAAAAACAAAACAAAAAAAAAATACCAGAGGGCTCAGGAGTTGGAGAGAAGAAAATATTTTAAACTACCTCATTAATGAAGCAAGTCAGGGAGCCATCTGAATTTCCCAGGTCAGGGAGTTTCAGAGGATATGGTAGAGGGTTATTCACAGAAAAAGACCCTCATCTTTATTGTCACTTACTGAATTCCTGAAAGGACAATGAGAAGGCTTCTGGGCAAGATCTCAGCTCTTGAGCAGGAATATGCTGAATAAGGTCTTCTACAGGCAACCTGGTCCCAAGTGTTTTGCTTAACACTTTATAGGTCAAAACCAGCAGTAGTAGTGAATTATTATTTGACAAGCTGTTGCTGCTAAACATGGGATTTTAACTTCAGAACAAGCACTAATGTGGATATTACATGGATATCTTCCTCTCTGAATCACATTAGTCATCTTCCGATATGGGGGTGGTGTGTTGCTCTTTGCAGGGTACAGTTAGTGTTACTGAAGCCAACTACGCTTTGTTGCTATTCTGTTCTATGATCCTGGACAACGAAGCACTGACTACTAATGTGATAATTAAATTAATCTCTGTATCTTTTAGTCATTCAAATGTAATTTTGCATGCAAGTGGAAATATGCATAGCATCATCTAGCATTAATGTCTCGATAGGAAGAAAGATCATTATTGCGGTAATGAAGTTGCAGAATTTCAAAACTACTTTTCTACTGCTGTCTCTGTGGAGAGAGGGTTTCACTTTTTAAGAAAAACAATAAAATCACCAAGATCCAATGGGAAAGAACTTGGGTATGACAGTTGTCTTTTTATTTGGAAGAGCAGACCCATCTTCCTTTCATAAAAGTATCCAAAGTTTTCAGAGATGTTGGCTATGTGTGCAGATGCAAAAACTGATATGTACATGGAACTACTTGCATATTTCTTGATATCAGAGTGTATAATGCACATTAGCATCTTAAAAGGCAGTGAGGCTGTGCTCCTGCCACTGCGTTTCAAGTCACATTTGCGCTTGCTGTTCACACCAGAGGTGTGTGGTTGTCTTCACCCAGTGTGCTGTACCCAATTTGTTTCTCTGTACCTGCAAACACTCCCAGCCTGCCACATCCACTGGAAGAGGAAGAGAGGTGGGGGGAGTGTACCACCCCGACACCACAATCCCGTGGGGTGCCATTGCGGTTGGTGTGCCACACCCCCAGGATGCGTGCCACGCCCCTGCGGGTGGCACGCCATGGCCCTGTCTGCTCTCTGTCCCCGGTACCAGAGCATGAAGCTCCACCACTGGCCACATCTATTCAAGGAAGTTGTCATCTGCGCATGCACAATGACTGTCTGAACTGTACACCCTTCATCTTAATGGCAGCTTGCATTTACAAATCAGATGGAAGCCCGTTTGAAGTATTTCTCAACAAACTGCAGGGTGCATACAAAATGTGGCTAACAACATGGCTTCATGGCACCAGAGGTTGGAGCAAACTGAAACCAGGGAAAGCGGTAATGGGCTCTTAGCCCTGAAAGGTCTTAAAAGGCTATCAAACCAGCATGGGCAAACCTTATATCAAGGGTAGCCAACATAGTGCACTCCCAGACTTGTAACATTAGAACTGAAATGCCCTGGAGTTCTCCACCTTTGGAGGCTACGATAGGGAGTCTCTTTTTACAGGAAGGGCGTGAAAGCAAGGACTTACTGCAGCCATGATCATGCTCCCTGCAGCTGCAGGATGCTTCGTTGCCCTCTCCAATTTTAAACCAAAGGGCATAGAAAGACAGAAACTTCTGCCCTCATGATGATGCAACATATCCAATGAGATTTGGCTACTCGATGTCACTGAAACCATGCAAGAGTGAATGGAATGCTCGCTGACCTTGTTCTGGCTAAATACAGAGAGACAGAGAGACAGAGAGACAGAGAGAGAGAATGAGATTCAGCAACAGGAGAGAACTGCAGTTGCTGACATAAGGGACATAAACACATAGCAAATGGAAATGAAAAAGGTGAAGATGAGCCTCCTCCTTCAAATCCTTGGCTTTTGAACCAAAAAGGTTTGCCTGAGATTTAGTTCTAGCCTACTAATACAGGCTCTAAAAAGAAGGTTTGCTTTAATCAATAGTGGTTTTATATTTTACAGTCATGCTTTTAACTGGAATGTTTTCTTAAGCCCTTTTTAGTTATTTGCAATTAATTTATATGAGGTTTTTCATGCTTCTGTTCTTATTTTGTAAACCATCTAAAGAAGGTTTGTAGTTTTACCTTTAAAGTGGCATAAATAAATAAGGTTTATTAATCACTTAAAGCTGTACATTGGGGGGGGTTACTATGTTGCATAAATATTATTGGGAGAAATTTTCAAAAATGGGGGGAAATAGTTATTTTGGGCTTTAGCACTGCATCACCAAGTTGAATCCGATGAGCAGCATCTTGCTGATAAATTGTGGGTCATACATGTGCAAATCACAAAGTGCTTAAAAATATACACAAAGCATATTCATTAAGATGCTCTATTACCCGATACAATGTTTTCACTATAGGGCAAAAAACAGGAAGCAGAAGCAAGAATCTGTTTGGGAAACCCTATAAGCTTCTGAATTAGGGCACAATCTTATTATTATCATTATTTTCTGTATCACCCTCACCTGAGTATCACAGGGCAGTTTGCAATATAAAACACAAAAATGAATTACATAGTAAAAAAAAACCCCAACTCTGCACACGCAGTTTAAAAGGCCATAGATTGTTTAATTGGCCTAAGGCCCAGGAGACTAGAAATGTTTTTGCCTGGGACCTTAAGATATGCAACAAAGGTACCAGGTGAACCTCCCTAGGGAAAGCATTCCACAAGGGGGAGCCACCACAGAAAAGGCCCATTCTCGTGTTGCTGCCCTCTGGATCTCTGGCAGAGGAGACAAACAAAGAAGGGCCTCAGATGATGACTGCAGAGTCTGAATTGGTTCACATGGAGAGAACTACTCCTTGAGGTACTGCAGTCCTGAACCGTTTAAGGCTTTATAGGTCAAAACCAGCACTTTGAATTGTGCCCGGAGACGAACTGGCACAATCCTGCAGCCAGGCCAGGATTGGAATTATATGCTCAAATCTTGCCCCAGTGAGCAACCTGGTTGCTGAATTCTGCACCAGGTAAGCTTCTTAACCATCTTCAGAGGCAGCCCCATGTATAAACTCATTGCAGTAATCTAACCTAATGATTACCAGAGCATAGACAACAGAAGTTAGATTATTTCTGTCCAGATAAGTTCACAGCTGGTAGCCAAAGCTGATAGAAGGCACTCTGCACCATCGAGCCTCAAGCAACAACAGGGGACCCAGAAGGACCCCCAAGCTGTGTACCTGCTACTTCAGAGTAAGTGTAACCCCATCAAGAGCAGACAACCTTCCATCCATCTGGCCTGGGGAACCACCCACTAAAAGGATCTCAATCTTATCTGGACTGAATTTCAGTTTGTTGGCTCTCATCCAGTCCATTACTGAGGCAAGACAACAGTCCTACACATTCATTGCCACACCTGCAGATGTAAAGAAGTAGTGCTGTGTGTCATCATATTGCTGACAACAAACTCCAAAACTGTAACTGCTTTCCTCAGAGTAAACCCACTGAACTCATTGGGGCTTACTTCTGTATAGACATGGATAGGACTGCACAGTCAAACTGTCTGAAGCATCTACGGCTGGTGTCCCAGGTTTGAACATTGCTAGTGATAAAGAGCATTTGGTAACTTGTCTAGGAAGTCCTCTCACACCAATGCCAAGTCAGAATGCGGGAAGGAAAGCACACATGAAAGAAAAAGGAAGCTGCTATCGAATAAATGGTGTCATAGGCAAGTTGTCTTATCTCACAAAAGCTCCTCACTATTAAATAATCTCTCCGACTTGAAAGCAGTATGGTGATTTGTGTGATGTGTGCAGCTAATTAGAGCTCTGCTCGTACAAAGACCTATACATATTCCTAACTTCAGGCACTTTCTGTTGGCATTCTGCTTCAAAAGGAATACTCAATGGACATAAAATTAAGGGCAGGAAGAAATCTTCATGGAATAGGGCCCTACATAGAGAAGAATAAATATATTGGTATGCCCCATTCATTGGTCTGGCCATGAGTTAATTTTGAATAAACTCCCAAAACAGGAGTTTAAAAGACGGCAGTGAACAGGTCTAAAAAACACAAGTTAGGTTTTAACACACTTTGTAAAACCACATTCCATATAATAGTAAGTGATCTCTAGGTGAGCTTCCCTCATTTTTTAATGTGTCAAGATTGGGAGTGGGGACCTTAGGTTTTGTGGCTTTGTATATACATAACCCCGAGCCACACGGATGCCTAGTATCAGCCTCTGGAATTGGTAGTCAGCATAACCTCTGGATATGCCAGGGTTACAAGGATCATGGCCTTTTGGTCTTGCCTAGACAAAAAAACAGGATCTCCAACTCACAGCTGGCTCAGCTGTTTAGTCTTTACTGTATGCAGGCTCCACGCAGGTACTGGTAACTAAGATAGTTACTATCCCTGGTAGAGCCCTTAACTTGGGCTTGTAGCAAGGTTTCGAATAGCCTTGGGGTGGGCTAACCTGTGCCCCCCCATGTTGTTTGATGCCAACTCCCATTATTCCAGGCCATGCTGGCTGGGTCTGATAGGAGTTGAAGTCAAACAACTTCAAGAGGGCAACAGAATAGTCACATCTCCTGTCCTAGTCTAAGGGAAGAAAGGGAAACAAGGGGACTGATGGCTGGAATGTACTTAAAGGCAAAGTGCACAGTCAATAAATGGTGGGAGAAGATGATCCTTCACATAACCTGCTCCTAAGCCATTTACAGCTTTGGAGGTGAATCTCATCACTTTGAATTGTGTCCAAAAGCATGCTCAGGCTAACCCATCCCAGTTGACATGTAGCTGCCAGAGTCCAAATATACCTCACAAAGCTGCTGGGGTGATATAAAGTGGAGCATGTACATGACCCTAAACTCCTTGAAGTAAGAAAGGAATAAAAAATATATAGAAACAAACAATAACAGATGATAAAAAAGAATTATTAACCATGGGAACTTAATTACTTTGGCACAGAAAGATACAACAACGATTAGCCCTATCTAAGAACAGGATTGTATATTCAACTAAAATATATGCTGCTGATGTTGTGCTTTACAGGTTATAGTTGGCTTGCTTTTCAATTCGTGGCATTTTATTGAATACTGTTTTTTGAGAATTTTGTGTTAGTGGTGTCTTGGGTTGGCAGGGTGGTATAAAATGTAATAGAATAAATTGACTAGTATCCTAGATGGACATGACTCATCTTCAAGAAGGAAATTGTGGTACAGTGGTACCTCGGGTTAAGAACTTAATTCGTTCTGGAGGTCCGTTCTTAACCTGAAACTGTTCTTAACCTGAAGCACTGCTTTAGCTAAAGGGGCCTCCCACTACTGCGGTGCCGCCGCCACATGATTTCTGTTCTCATCCTGAAGCAAAGTTCTTAACCCGAGGTACTATTTCTGGGTTAGCGGAGTCTGTAACCTGAAGCGTATGTAACCTGAAGCATCTGTAACCCGAGGTACCACTTTGCCACTTATCCTAATCAAAGAGCTGTACAAAGTCTGTGCATGTTCACCAATGACACTGGCAAGGCTTGATCACAGTTCACATGTCAGCCATTTAAGTTATATAAATGTAAACACAGGTAGGGGAAAGATGGAATGCCCTTATACTCCGACTGAAAATACAGTTAAGCACATGTGCCTGCATTGAAGCTGGTTTAATCAGATTTCGTTCAAACAGATTAACTTATTTCTGTTGTGGCAATTGATTTGTTGGCAAATAGTTCAAATATAAGTTAAGACTGCATAGCAGAACTCTAGGGAACATTAATCTAGATGTGTCCAGTAACAAGTGCCATTAAAAATGTGCAGTCTAAAACAATGGATTTCTAGAAGTAGCTTTACTGAATCAGCAAACAATTGTCAGGTTCCACTACTATCATAGCCTGCGTTTGCTGAAAGCCAGGACCACATGCCCCACACTAGATGTGCAGCAATAACAACAGATGTTCACAACACCATATAATATGATGATGTGTCAATGAAACCTTTTACAATACTTGGACAAAAACTGTATTCATACAGCCCAATCCTACACATGCTTACTCTGAAATATGGCCCTCTTTTTTCAGTATGGTTATTCGCAGGGAAATTGTGCCTAGATTTGGAGCATTAATTTGTTAAATGGCAGTAGTAAAAAAATGAATGTACAATTATGCAAAATAACTATCTGAGCAAGAATACAGTACAGCTAAATTTCTATTTCCTTGGAAATGTGCCAGAAAAAAATTAAAGAGGGCCATCTATTTAGTATTGATTCCAAAATCCATCCTTTGTAGTTCTTGCACTCAAAGAGAGAATGGTGACTCCTCTTGGTATTGTGGAATGCATGTTCAGAGTTAATTTCACATTGGTGTAATCTCAAACATAAGTATCAACTGAGATCACCACTACATCCATGGTTGGTAATTAAAAGAGAGGCTCACACTTCTAAAAACAACTATATTATAAAGAACACACACTCAAGGACAGATACACAAAAGCAAATGTGCTGGGAAAACAAAACGTATTTTGCAAGGACAAACAGCACTGAAAGAATAATCCATAATAACAAGAGTTCATAACTACTGTAAAAAGTTCAAGGAACCACAGTGTGTCAGAAGTTTCACTTGGAAATTATCACAGCTGTAAATCTACAAAAAAACTTTGTTTCCAGTTGTACTTGTGACAGGTGGCTGTAACACAGCAGAAAACTCTTGTGATATAAATTGTTCAAAGTGCATAGTGACATTGAATTTGGGGGATTTAGGACAGTGAAAAGGAAATACTTATTCACACAGGGCACAGTTCAATCAATTGAATTCAACACTATTTTTAAATTTTATTTATTAGACTTATATACTTCCCTTCATCATAAGATCTCAGGGTGGTTCATAACATAGGAGCTACAAAATGTAGTAGAGGCCACCAACCTAAGTGACGTTAAAAAGGAGTTAGACAAATTCATGGAATATAGGGCCAGTAATGGCTGTTGATATCAAATGTGGTATTGCCACCACATACCAGTTGCCTGGAAGCAGAAGTAGAGGGAGGTGTGGGAAATTGCAATCAAACAGAACTGCACGAGTGCTAGCTAGTGCATGAAGAGGTTAAGACCATAGAACTGTGTTCCTAGACTAAGTTAGGTCACACACCTCTTACCTCTGTTGGGGAAGGAAGTGAAGCTTCTTCTCTCTCTTCACACCATGTTATTGACCAGAAAGGATGTTTGAAGCTATCTATCTGTATTTTGTAGTCCTAGCTGCAGCATGGAATGGAACATGAATCAGACCTTTGGACTTTGTAAGTAAAGCATTTTTATGGTAATTTTAAAATTGTCTGAAGTCACTCAGAGTGGCTGTGGCAATCCAGTCAGATGGGCGACAAATAAATAAATAGTTATTATTATAATAAACTTACTTAACAGTGTGTTGGACCTGTTCATTGCCAGGAAAAGGCAACCTATATCCTGGTGCGATACTGCTGCTTAATTTTGTGACTGTTTTAAACTCTGTGGGGGCTCTCCCCTGTTGGATGTGTTAAACCCCATGGTTTGAATCCAGGCATCCAGCCAATTCTTTTGTTCATTATAACATCGGTCATGGATCTTTATTTTCTTCCCACAAAAGAGGGCTGTTGCAAGGGAAATGGGCATCTGGCTGGCCACTGTGAGATCAATATGCTAGTCTAGGTGCCCCTTTGGTCTGGTCCAGCAGGGCTCTTCTTGTGTTTCAGAAATAGGAACACGATGTGTGTGGGGGGGGGGCTACCCATAATTCCTGGATTTAGTAAAAGTTAGAATTAATCAAGGTTTGATTAAACTGTGCCAAATGCCTAACTTCCAAAGGAAACACGAACCCCGAGTAAGCGCCAAGCTCCCACACCGCTTGGAGATTGAGGCATATAACAATTATTATGTGTGTATACATTGAGTTGTATCCAACAATGTCAATCGGTTGATGGCAAAGGTTTTGTCAGCAGAATGGGGAGGGAAGCAATTTTCAGTTATTCCCCTCAACCTGCACCCCTCCTCTAAATCTGCTTTAAAGTGTTCCCCCTACCATTTGCAACAGATTTGAGGGACGAGGGCTGTACTGGAGGGAATGGTCAGAAACTGCTTCCAACCACATTCTGTTGACAGAAACCTTGGCTACAACAGTGTACAACACTATTGGGTCATTGTTTTTTATTTGTTTTAAATGAAAATGTTTCTAATATTGAAGGTGTTCTTCCCTATTACTCTAAGTTGTTTTAATAAGGAATATATCTCGATCAATGCAATGACGATGACAGTAATTCTGCCCAATGAATTCAGCAAAGATCATCCAGCAGTATCCTTCCCCTCATTCACACTATTAAAAACTGAAATCTCACCAAGTAATTCAGCTGGTGTCAGCTTCCTTCATCTCAATACCATATACTCAATGGGAAACTTATAAAAAGACACCCAAACTTATCTGAGAATGTTATCCATTCCATGGTGACAGGTTTTATTTTATTATTATTAAAAATGGGAATCTTTCAATTATAGAAGCAAGAGAACATAGTATAATATAAGGAAGCTGTCACTAAAAGGAAATGTCTATCAAGTCAGATGTCTTTCTCCTGTGTACATGGGGAGGGAAACTCTTGGTATAATAACTGAATGCATACCTCTCTCTGCACCAAGCTGATGGGTGCAACACATGTAAATAAAAACATTGTAAGAGATATTTGCTACAGCAGAAAAGTCTCGCTGATGTGAACAAACAGAATAGGATACAGCTGCCAAAGAAAATACTGACACAGCATATGGGCTGTGATGGTTTTGATACGTTCACCATTTGTCAGCCACCGTGAGTGTTAGAACTAGGAACTGACAGCTCTGTACCCAGCTTCCCCATTGTGTGATGAGCCCCCAGAACTACAGGGTGGAGCGTCTCACAGAATTGTAGAGTTTGAAGGGACCCCAACGATCGTCTAGTCCAACCCCCTACAATGCAGAAATCGCAGCTAATTCTTTTTGTACAGCAAAATGGGTCTAAGTATTAGCCTGACTCTGCCCAACCAAGTTGCCTATCAGCTCTCCTCAACAGGAAGGACCATAAAGCCTCTCTGCTCCTTGTCTGGACAATGTTAACCTTTTTCTGGCTCTCATTTAACCTCTCAGCTCACTACAGTTTTAACTAGTTACACGGTACAGTATGAAATAATCTGGAATCGCCTTCCTCAATATGGTGAAGTCTAGAGGTGTTTTTTCTTTTACTACAATTGATCATACCTGCTGATTGGCTGTGCAGGCTAAGACTGATGGAGTTGTACTGAACAAGGCTGATCTAGAAGTCTAGGCCACCATCCTATGACATACTACCTTAATATATGTTGAAGAGGCTCCCCATTTGGAACATCCCATGGATTTACCATCTGGTTTCCCCTTGAGAGATTTCAGGGCATGAGCTTTGAGAGGACTAGCAAAATTTCTTAAAAGGAAGCATTCATTGCTTGAGAGACACTGAAAATATAAAAGCAAGTCAGGAGTCAAACTGCTGTGGCCATCATCTGCCTTTCCCTTTCATGCAGAAGGAAATGCAAGACCTGTGACTAGATTTGCCACACAGTTGCTCCAAAAGTAAACGATAAACATATCGAAAATGTGAGAGAATCAAAAAGAGATTCAGTAAATATGAGTAGTAAAAAAGGATGTATACAGCCTTTCATGTAACCCTCATGTATATTGTCAGTGCTTTTTTTTGTGAATCTTCGTACTTTTGTCCATTTACTGTATTTATTTTCCCCGATCTGAACTATAAAATGGTGATTTTCTTGAGTCAAAATGAGAGTACCCCTAAACATTTTATAGAAAAAATCACTGTATACTGCACAAATGAAGCTTTCTTTCTTTTTTTTACTAAAAAAGGAAGAACAAAAAGGCAAACCTGAAAAGAGAGGCACTACCCTCCAGTGGTGGCAAAAACTGAATAAGGTGGCAATTGTATGCCGTTACCTGCATTAAAGTCAATGGGGCTTACTTCCTAGCAGACATGTATAGGACTGCAATGTAAATAAATGGGACAATTAATCACTAAACTACCAGCTTCACTGAGCAAAAAAAACAAAATAAAACCGGCAAACAGGAAGTGTTATGTTGAAATAATAATTGCCCTTAGAAGCCTTAATAGTGATTTGCCAGTCTACACTGAATCAGGTGGCGGTGCAACTGTGTTTTTTAAATTATAATTTTTTGCCATGAGTTAGGGTCTGAAAAAAACATAACAAGAAGAAAACACACTGAAATGGAGCAATGTCATGGGAATCCATTGACTGAACAGAAACTAGAGGAAGTATTTAGTGTAGAAGCAACTAGAGTCCCCATTCCTCTCTCAATCCAAGGAAATGTTCTGACTTTTAACAGGTGACCTGGGACTGTCCACTTAGCATGCAGGGCAACAGTAATTGTAAAATATTTTTGCTTTTACAATACAGAAAAAATGACGCCAGGAATGAGAGAATGGGAAATATCATAAATGATGGAGTTGGAGTTTAGAATAAAATTGAGAACATAGGCAAGAGAGAGGATGAAAACTGGGAAGCCTTTTTGTTTTTTTTTGTTTAGATCCATGAAAGTTAAAAAGCATGGGTGGGTGAGACAGAAATACGAATCTGGTTTTCATCCATGTCAATATGGCATATGGCCAGGATATTTGTCTAGCACAATTCACGATCTACATGATAATATGTAGTAAAACAATGCATAAAATGTTTATACAAGCAAGGGAAATAAAAGCAAACGTACTGCTATATGCATCATCTTCAACATGAAGATTGCCCTTATGTTTTTTCAGATCCACCTATCAGCTGCTAAAATTGAAACTGTACCCATGGCGCAAACGCAACTTAACACAGGAATAAATGCTACTCTGAATGGAAATTATAAACGACAAATTATGTATACCAGTTGGAATTACAATCCCTGAGAAATTGCTTGTTTTCAGCACTGAGACTAGAAGCAAATAGGTGTTTTCTAAATTATCTAGCAGATGGTTCAGACATAAGGACAGCTTGCTAGAAGCAGGACAAGGCTAATTAGCCCATCTTGACTTCCCTTCTCCTCCTCAGCATTCACTCCCTGATCATTTCTCCCCTGTAACAGATCAGCTTCTCTGTGGTTAGAAAATCATCGACACCCCTGCAATGATTTTTTCCCAGCAACATTCAGAGCAGATCGTAGATAAAACAAGCAAGACATCTCATGCAAGCAGAAAATAACCTGCTTGCTTGCCAGAATGACCGCTGCTTCTCTCCCCCCCCCTCAGGGCGGAGGTTTTGTGCTTTTGATAGATGTATGACAAGAAGTAATTCTGCCGGTAAAGCATTCAAACAGCTACATTTCCATGCTAGGAAGGTCCTTTTTACTGTTGAATTTCTACATGCTGTGCAGCTGTTAAAGGCTCATCAGCCTTGCCAGAACAAAAAGGTGGCATCCCCATTGGGGCAGTATTCTGCATTTTACAGCAGCTACCCATGTTATATAGCTTTTGCATTTTGTGAGTTTCTTTCCCTGTCAAAGTCATGGACTATCACCCAGAAACATACCATGAATATTTAAGCAGACTGACTCTTTCAATTTGTACAGACTGCTATGCAGGATCAACACACGCCAATATAAAGATTGAAATCAATGTGCTGGATTGACTGGGTGAAGCGTGAGATGGTGCTAGTGTTTCAAACACAAGTTAAAAAGGAGTTTTCATTTAACTCCTAGCTCCCCTGCAGAAGTAACTGTAGCCCTTGTAGCCATTTCACTTTCAAATTGAAAAGCCTTGTAAATTTCTAGGATCCGAGCCTAACATTCTGCAAACATCTTCCACAAGCAATGTCACCATTATCCCAAGAGTGTGCACAGATGGGGAAAAGGACAGGAAGAAGAAGAAGAAGAAGAAGAAGAAGAAGAAGAAGAAGAAGAAGAAGAAGAAGAAGTAGTTTGGATTTGATATCCCACTTTATCTCTACCCGAAGGAGTCTCAAAGCGGCTAACATTCTCCTTTCCCTTCCTCCCCCACAACAAACACTCTGTGAGGTGAGTGGGGCTGAGAGACTTCAAAGAAGTGTGACTAGCCCAAGGTCACCCAGCAGCTGCATGTGGAGGAGCGGAGACTCGAACCCGGTTCCCCAGATTACGAGTCTACCGCTCTTACCCACTACACCACACTGGCTCTCTGCAACTCCTGCAACTTTAATAGTTGTATAGAATAAGGAGTTGCAACAGATGTTTCTTGCATAACAAAAATTAAGGGGGCATGAGCCTTATCTTTTTCATCTGGTGATCTACAGCTGTTGTCGGGCTACAACTCCCATCATCCCTGAACATTGCTCCTGCTAACCAGGGATGATGGGAGATGTAGTCCAACAGCTAGAGACCCAATTTTGAGAAACACTGCATTAATAGGATCCTAAGGGAGGTGCTTCTGTTTATGCACCCTGGCGGGGTCTGAGGGCCATAACACTCACCAAGGTGGTGATCCTGAGGGAGTTGCACCTATTTGATGTATGTTATAGGTCAGTCCTATATCAGGAACGACCCCAATAGAATCTTCCAGCAGGTGGACTGGTTGATATAGGAGATACCCAATGCCTAAACCAAAACCCCAAACCAATCTGTAATCAATAAAGCTGTAGCCTAATTTGAACCAAAAGAACATTGTACTGTGGTCCTTTCAACTTCTACATACACAGCAACAGGGGAGTAGCAATATCACTGCACCCAGACACAAAAATACTTCACTCACAGCTGTTCATAGAGCCCCACATCTTTCACAAACCACAGAAAACCTCCAACACGGAGCCCCAGAGATTCTTGCTCCACATGGAAAACAAATGCATAAGACCCAAATCACTAACCCCAATGAAGAAAAGACTATGTCTTCTCTCTTCCACCTCCTCCCTGTCTCTTTTTCTCAGAGTTTCATCTGGGCTCATTTTAAAATCTCATTCACTGCAGCTGTGACATCTCTCGTTTCACTCCTTTGGCCTCCTCACCTGTTTCTCTTGCTAGCAAACCTCCTTGGCTGGACTTGCTCTTATAGCTGGGCAGCCTCTGCAGCCAGAAATCTCAGCAGGCTGACAGGCATGGTCTTATCCACTGTAACTTACCCCTAATTAATTTTAGAAATTCTCTGGATTAAACTAGAATTCAGGAGAAGAGAAACACAGCACAGCCTGACTCGATGCAATTATAAAGGGATGGAAATCTGGAGAAATCAGCTCATGCCTGAAAAGGAATGGAAATCAGGGCGGGGAGGTGGAGAGAGAGAATCAGTTCATACCTAGAGAGAGCATAAAATCTGGTTTTTAAAAGTGCCACGTGTCACTGCCAGCCTAAAGGCAAGAAATCAGGGTCACAGCTGTCTGCAGCTACAGAATATTTCAGCAATAAGCCAGTTAGCAACCGCTGGCCTGAAGGCAAAAATCATGTCCATAACTCCCCTACAGCTATAGGAAAATCCGGCTTGGCCTGCAGGGCAGCTAACCTGAAGGCACAAAGCTGTAGGTAAGGAAGCAAGCAACAAAACAGCAATGTCATCTCTAAAGAGGTAGTGTCTTAAGGACTGGACATTTAACTTACGCACTTCACAGAAGTTCACAGACTGTTGTAGTATTGTCAGAGTTTAAGATCTTTTATGCTCTGTAAGAATTTAAGCCCGCTTTATGCATGGGCCCTAAACAGCCTCGGTCCAGTATACCTGAAGGAGCATCTCCACCACCATCGTTCTGCCCGGACGCTGAGGTCCAGCGCCGAGGGCCTTCTGGCGGTTCCCTCATTGCGAGAAGCAAAGCAACAGGGAATCAGGCAGAGGGCCTTCTCGGTAGTGGCGCCCGCCCTGTGGAACGCCCTCCCATCAGATGTCAAAGCGATAAACAACTACCTGACATTCAGAAGACATCTTAAGGCAGCCCTGTTCAGGGAAGTTTTTAATGTGTGACATTTTAGTGTATTTTGGGTCTCTGTGGAAGCCGCCCAGAGTGGCTGGGGAAACCCAGCCAGATGGGTGGGTTACAAATAATAAATTATTATTATTATTATTATTATTATTATTATTATTATTATGGCACCTCCGTCTGAAGAATGTGACTGTGCTGCTGGCCACACCCCTTGTGTGTCATGCGGTACTGCAGATTTCTTTCCCTGCTTATACAGTGGTTTCCTGCCCTGAAGGACTCCAGACCAAGGCATGGATGCTCAGGGGGTGAGGCCAGTGATGGGCCTGAGACCAGGGGATACCAGGGGCAAGGGCCTACCTTCCAGCTATCATTCATATGATTAATGCATCAACGAGTCTGAAGTCTCACTGTCAATTCACATTAACCAGGAATCCTAATTTTTGCATCCCGCACAGCACACCATCACAGCAAGAGTTAGCATTGCTTCCATTGCTAGGGGCATTTCTTTTTTTTAACATAGAGCACATTCTCCCCCCTCCCTTACATGCTTTTTGTGACTCGCTGAATACAGTTGTCATGGCATCTAACATGGGAAACTAAAATTTTTGAGCGAGGTTTCCTGTCTGCCAGATTTAATTAGAAGGATCTGACAGGTGCATATTTGTATGAATTGATGTGGTCTTTGCACAGGTGCCTCAGCACCACTGCTGAAAAGGAAGCATCTGGGCTGCCCTCCTGGGTGCATGGCCTGGCTTCTCCTGGGATGGGGAGGAAATTAGTGGGATGTCAATGCTGTCTTGAAACATGAATAATTAAGGTTTTATTTTTGTCAACATTGGGAAAGATTTATGTTCCCTTTTGGACTTCCATGCGACGTCATCATTGCTGTCTAATTGATTCTGAATGCTTCTATCAATTGTGACTCTCTCTTCATCCTCTTTAATGACACCTCTCCCCCCCCCATGCACCTATTTATATCTTATTATGATTTTTTTATATATATATAAAAAAATCTTTTTCAGCAATTTATTAAATACAACCTTTACCAAGCTGGTAACCTGCATATGTTTTGGAGTTCAACTCCAATCAGCCCCAGCCAACATAGCTGTGTAGACTAGGGGTCATGGGATCTGGAAGCCCAAAACATTTTGAGGGCACCAAGGTGAAGAAAGTTGATTTAACACAATAATATCCTAGTACTTCTGCATCATAGAACTCAATGTGTTAAGTGGTCTCCCAACCAGGCACGGATACTACCTAAACCTGGTTGGTTTCAACCAAGCTTTTGCATCACATGCCCTCTAACCATTCTCTGGGAACTTTACAGAGGACTGGGGATTTAACAATAAACATTTATTTCATTGCAAATTTTAGGATCAATTATTGCAATGCACTATACTTTGTGGCTCTTTAATCTGGGGGCTGGATTCAACCAAACAGTTGTGATAGCAGGAGCTAGTGCAACAAGTCCTGCTAATGCAATAAGCCTTTCCCCTTCTCCTCCTCATGCTCTCCATGGCCTAATCAGCTGTGGTTTCATCCTTCTTGACTATGGGCTTTGTCTTTTCTGCTGCTTCAGCCACAGAATTAAGTCTAGGAGCAAGTCTTAGGTTCCTGCAATGTCATCTTAGGGCCTGTCCATTTTCCATTTGTACTCTATACCTGTGGTTCCTAATCTTTTTGGTAAGGTTACCCACAACTCCAATTTTTTTATGATAGGGTGACCCATCTTTCTATTGCTACATGAATTTTGGACCTTAGGTCTTAGGCAGCTGTCAATTTCCTGCATTTTAATTGCAAGTATGCTTAGTTGTCTCAAGTATTTATTTAATACCCCTAATCTTGCCGACTTTGTTGAAATCTTTATAGTACTTACATTTATTCGGTTATTTTTATGGGAAAGTAAGCGCACCAGGTATCTGATTGCAAGATACTGCTTCATTTGCTATAAAACTTCCACCTCTACACTGGCCTCTTGGTGAATAAGAGGTACTGCTAGTCTCCTCCCACTCTTGTTCCTAACGTAGATCTTCACTCACCCCTTCTTCCCTGGCCTGGCGAGAGGCACCATTTTGTGGTTTGTCTCAGGTACCAAAATGTCTTGGGCCAGCTCTGGCCCTGAATAACCAAGGTCTTCAATAGTTGAAGCAGTGCCTAGTGCCTCTATCATTATCACCGAAATCAGGCTTCTTGGCTACTTGTGATAACAGTAGCCCATTGTATGGTGACTTCTTGGTGGTGCATGCCAGCTGCTGAATCCCCTGCTAATACAAGGTTGTTTTTCCTCATTTCTGAGGTTTCAGCAGTGTCTGAAGACACTGGGACAGACAGACTGAGGTATTCAGGATCATTGTAGTTATTGTTCACTGCTCTATTGCATTGTATTGCTTTGAGTTGATCATTTGTAAATGTTATTGGATTGTATTTTAATGGATATTAATTGATTTTTTAATAAAACAATTATAATTATGTATTGTAATTAGAACCCTGGGATCTTATAGATGTAGAACAGTTTTAGAAAGATAGATAGAAAGAAAGAAAGAAAGAAAGCAAGAAAGAGGCTGTGATCCTAATCAAACATACCTGAAAATAAATTCCAATGAAATAAATTACAAATAAATGTAATTTTTATGATTGGGGTGTCTATTTCTTTTCTTTTCTTTACATCTGCTTCTTCAGGATTTGTTTACATGTTAGTGTTCCAGTAAGAATTACCCATTCATGACATTCTTCAATTTGTTTACACAATCAAGAATTTAATTGTGTGGCTGGTATGCACAATAAGCAAGGAGAATTACCCTAGTTAATTAGGCACTCTTAACTTGCAAGCGGAAGCATGGTCATAAGGTGCACAGAGGTAGGGGAATTCAGAATTTAATACAAGCACTGACTGACCTAATTAAGCCCCAAGATAGAAAACAAGTCTCATAGGTGGAAAGGCCATATACAATGTTTTGTAAAATGATAAAGTTTTCCTTGATTATAGAAGTTAAGGTGGTAGCTGAGAAAATGGGACATGTTCTAGGGAAGGAACATGTGCCCATATAACCTGTTCAATATACACCAGCAGCATGTGACAAAGATACTTAATACATAGGTCCATTTTAAGGGTTTCTTGTATGAATCGGGGAATGTGTGTGGCTTTTTTATGGTTGTGATTTATTTATTCATCACCCTCCACACACATGCATCAAGGGGATGTACCAAAAGGCAATAAAACATCTAAAATAAAACAATTAAAATCAGGCATGCCAACTTGAATAAAATACTGGGGGGGAGGAGGTAAGCCCCACCCTGCATAATCGGTCGCATGATGCACACCATTTGAATGGCAATGGCCATCAACTTGGGGGGGGGGGGGAGGACCGGTCCCCTCAAATCATTTATCGAGGGAGCCAAAGCCCCCTCGGCCCTAGGAGTTGGCTTCTATGATTGAAATCAAGACAGAAAATAACAGCATTTTTTTTAAAAAGTAGACACTCATGGCAAATATCTATTCATCCAGCTGGAAAAGCTTGCTGAAAGAAAAAGGCCCTAAATGGCAAGTGCAGATAGAGGGCATCTGCTGTATCTCAACAGGAATGCTGTTCCTCAGAACAGGATCAGCTACACAAATAGCCTTTTCTAACTTACTCTGGAGTGAGCTTCTGAGATCTTTGGAACCTGGAAAAGAAGCTGTCCCACAGACTTTAGCCAGCTGGTCTTGAGCTGCAAAGGACCTGTTAGTGCCAAAACTTTGAACTTGGCATGGAAGGTGCCTAAAGAAGCCAGGGTGGCTATCTAAAGAACTTTTAACTGAGTTAAGATTAAAAAAGGATGTGTACAAAAAATGGAAAAGGGGGGAAACCACCAAAGAGGAATTCAAACAAATAGCCAGCACGTGTAGACACAAAGTCAGAAAAGCTAAAGCACAGAATGAACTCAGGCTTGCTAGAGAGGTTAAAAGCAACAAAAAAGGCTTTTATGGGTATGTTCGTAGCAAAAGGAAGAACAAAGAAACAGTGAGGTCACTTAGAGGAGAAGATGGTGAAATGCAAACAGGGGACACAGAAAGGGCTGAACTCCTCAATGCCTTCTTTGCCTCAGTCTTCTCTGATAAAGAAAACAATGCCCGACCTGAAGAATTTGGAGCAAATGATTCAGCAGAGGAAACACAGCCCAGAATAACTAAGGAGATAGTACAAGAATACTTGGCTAGTTTAGATGTATTCAAGTCTCCAGGGCCAGATGAACTGCATCCAAGAGTATTAAAAGAACTGGCAGATGTGATCTCAGAACCACTGGCAGTCATCTTTGAGAATTCCTGGAGAACAGGCGAAGTCCCGGCAGACTGGAGGAGGGCAAATGTTGTCCCTCTTTTCAAAAAGGGGGAAAGAGAGGACCCAAATAATTACCGCCCAGTCAGTCTGACATCAATACCAGGGAAGATTCTGGAGCAGATTATTAAGCAAACAGTCTGTGAGCACCTAGAAAGGAATGCTGTGATCACCAATAGTCAGCATGGATTTCTGAAAAATAAGTCATGTCAGACTAACCTGATCTTGTTTTTTGACAGAATTACAAGCCTGGTAGATGAAAGGAACACAGTGAATGTAGCCTACCTTGATTTCAGCAAGGCATTTGACAAGGTGCCCCATGATATTCTTGTAAAGAATCTGGTAAAATGCGGTCTTGACTATGCTACCACTCAGTGGATTTGTAACTGGCTGACTGACCGAACCCAAAGGGTGCTCATCAATGGTTCCTCTTCATCCTGGAGAAGAGTGACTAGTGGGGTGCCACAGGGTTCTGTCTTGGGCCTGGTCTTATTCAACATCTTTATCAACGACTTGGATGATGGACTCAAGGGCATCCTGATCAAATTTGCAGATGACACCAAACTGGGAGGGGTGGCTAACACCCCAGAGGACAGGATCACACTTCAAAATGACCTTGACAGATTAGAGAACTGGGCCAAAACAAACAAGATGAATTTTAACAGGGAGAAATGTAAAGTATTGCACTTGGGCAAAAAATGAGAGGCACAAATACAAGATGGGGGACACCTGGCTTGAGAGCAGTACATGTGAAAAGGATCTAGGAGTCTTGGTTGACTACAAACTTGACATGAGCCAACAATGTGACGCGGCAGCTAAAAAGCCAATGCAATTCTGGGCTGCATCAATAGGAGTATAGCATCTAGATCAAGGGAAGTAATAGTGCCACTGTATTCTGCTCTGGTCAGACCTCACCTGGAGTACTGTGTCCAGTTCTGGGCACCACAGTTCAAGAAGGACACTGACAAACTGGAACGTGTCCAGAGGAGGGCAACCAAAATGGTCAAAGGCCTGGAAACGATGCCTTATGAGGAACAGCTAAGGGAGCTGGGCATGTTTAGCCTGGAGAAGAGGAGGTTAAGGGGTGATATGATAGCCATGTTCAAATATATAAAAGGATGTCACATAGAGGAGGGAGAAAGGTTGTTTTCTGCTGCTCCAGAGAAGCAGACACGGAGCAATGGATCCAAACTACAAGAAAGAAGATTCCACCTAAACATTAGGAAGAACTTCCTGACAGTAAGAGCTGTTCGACAGTGGAATTTGCTGCCAAGGAGTGTGGTGGAGTCTCCTTCTTTGGAGGTCTTTAAGCAGAGGCTTGACAACCATATGTCAGGAGTGCTCTGATGGTGTTTCCTGCTTGGCAGGGGGTTGGACTCGATGGCCCTTGTGGTCTCTTCCAACGCTATGATTCTATGATTCTAAGGTAAAGGACTCCTGGATGGTTAAGTCCAGTCAAAGGCGACTATGGGGTGCGGCGCTCATCTCTGCTTTCAGGCCAAGGGGCCCAGCATTTGTCCACAATAGATTTCTGGTTCATATGGCCAGCATGACTAAACTGCTTCTGGCACAACGGAACACCACGATGGAAACCAGAGCACACGGAAACAACGTTTACCTTCCCGCCGCAACGGTACCTATTTATCTGCTTGCACTGGTGTGCTTTCAAACTGCTGGGTTGGCAGAAGCTGGGACAGAGCAACAGGAGCTCACCCCATCACACAGATTTGAACTGCTGATCTTCTGATCAGCAAGCCCAAGAGGCTCAGTGGTTTAAACCACAGCGCCACCCGCATCCCCACTTGGCATGGTAGCAAATTGCCAGCCAGTGCAAATCCCACAATAGGGTGTTATAGTCCAGTGGTAGTTTGCCCCCACATGCAACCCAGCCAGCATGTTCTGCACCAGCTGCAGCCTTCAGACCAACCTCAATTGTGGCCACCCATTATAGCTGCATCACATGTTACCTTGTATCTGTGGTGGTGGGTGGGAGGATGAATGTAGCATTAAACACCCTATGGTCTGTTTAGTTGCTGTAGTGCTCTTCTTAAAAAAAAAAAGTTATTTAAATTGTGTTTTAAAGGTTGTATGCTATGTATTTTATCATTGCAAGCTGTGTTATGGATGAACAAACAAACAAATGCCACCTCTAGATCCTCAGATGAGTGACTATGTGAAGAAGCTCACTTGTAAATCAACATTTTTTTAACAAAGCGTATTTCTGGTTATCGATGGAAACTCCCAATTTCTTAAAAATCTAGATACTGTATTTTAACAATCCTATATTTCTCAAGCTAACTCTTTTCATCTAAATTAGGTGCATACCAACTAAAATGCATGCTAGTTTGATTTGAACTAGAACTATTCTCAAGCTACTCTCTTCTGTAGGGAAAGAGATAAATTTACCTATTTTTCTCCTTTAAGACAGCCTCTAGGCCTAGCCAGAGGTATGTTCTCTAATAATCTCCTATCGCATCCACACACACATTCCAATTATTGAAGAATTTCTTATTTTCCCATGCTGCCTATCCCTCTTAAAATGTGTTGTATGTACACAATATTTGTAAGAGGGTCCATAGGTTTATGGAAGAGGGCTGGACCCAGTGAATTTGCTTCAAATTTTGCTTTATGTGAAATGAGTGGCAATTCTAGCTTATTGCTATTGTTATGATTCATATTCTGATTATGGTGATTAAATTTATGTTAATATGGTTAACCATGGAATGCAATGACATCATCCATTGATGGCATGTACAGAGAGAATAGGAGAAGGCTGGAGGCAGAGCCTTGAGGGACCACAATTGAACTAGTTCAGAGACACTGTGACTCTGGATACTAGCTGGTGGTGGGTAAACAAGGAGGAGATGTCTGTTGCCTTTATCTTCTGATTGTGGCCTTCCCAATGTCCTGGTTTTCACTAAAAAACAACAGCTTGACAGCAGGTGCATGCACTTACAAGTAAGGAAGTGATAATTTATTGAAACTAATTAACAGTAAAGACTCAGAAGCATGGAAAGAGCCAGATACAGTCCAGCAGATCTTACAAGGTGGAGTATAGGCAGAAAGAAGGCCAGTCTAGAAGCAAGTGCCAAGGTTCATTAGTTCAAGGCTGCAAAGTTGTTTCAACAAGTTTTCCCGCCTACCTGACAAGCTTTTAAGTAGAGGTGGAAAAAGCTACTCGTAAGAATCCTTGTCCCTTTAGGAATTGCTGGCCAGAAGTTAGCACTATGTCTCCTTTTTCTCTTGCTTTACCCTGGGAGACCACGCCAAACCTAGCTGCACCTCTGAAGTGTCTCACTCTGTCCCAACAGACAATGCCCCAAGTGTTCCCCATCTCTCACTGCATAAATAGCCTCCACAGTCTCTAACATGTTCCTCTCTTCCACAGGGAGGGAAGAGGAAGCTCTGGGACTCCTGCTTCAACAGCAGAGCTGGACATTTCCAGAGGGCCCTCTGTCCACTGGGTTCTGCTACCATGTCTCATCCCCATCTCCCTTCCACTCTTTCTCCTCCTCAAGTCCCCCCTGCTCTGATTCAGATGGAGTCATGGAACCCAGTACCATCTGCCTGGCAATTATAGAAAACAGAATGTTAAATTAGTTGGAGTCTGGGGCTGTATCAAGCAGGATGGTTATGGATGTGCATATGATTATGAATGCATATGAATATGGAATGTGGTTATATTAAGCAGCTTATAAGATTAGAATATGCTCAATATAACAGGGAATACAAACATTAGAAGAAAAGAATAAATTAATTGGTGATATTACACATACATACCATATATTGCCAAATTTGAGAGAGACGGAGTTCAGTGGTAGAAAAGTAATGTGGTCCTTGTTTGTTATTCGCTTACTACCATTAAAAAAATTCCAATCATTAAAGACACTGGGAAACTTATGAGGAAAAAAGATGATGAAACATTTTTTTTAAAAAGCAATTTCATTCACCACAAAATGAATTTTGTTCAACGTTCTTGTAAATATTCTTTTGAAGTAGAGCTATCTAGCACAATGCTGTAATTTGAAGTTCAGGAGTTTTAATCATGCCATCAGGGATGTGGGGCTAACTAGCAGAAGGGTGTTCCTATTAGTGTCACTAACAGTAATTGTTATTTTAATTGGCTGAAATAAACTGTACTGCCCCTAGGCAAGTGATAAAACAGTACTAGTGTGGTGCTTTCCATTCTTACCCCTGCTTTAGAAAAGCTAACTTCATGGAAAAGCCTGCCTTTTGAATTAAATATCTATCCAGTATTGTCAGCCAATCTCATCGAATCTCATCAAAGTGAAAAAGAAAACCAGACAGTGTTTTATGTACTCAAAGGAAAATAGGAAAAAAAGCCCATGAAAACTCCTCATCAGTCCAGATTTTTCTGCATCTGGGGGCGTGTTTGTTGTCACACAGAAGGAAATAGCCAGAAAGGCAGAACCATTCAGCAACGACATTTCTGCATGCTGTCCAATCCTGTTACTATTTGGTGGGGAGAAGTTCCATGTTATTATCCCCTGAAATTGGGTTGGGTGGGGGTCAGGGGATTGTCCCAGAAGAGTGTGTGAAGTAGGCGTGGAGTTATTCCATCTGGCAAGGTAATATGCTTGAGCAAATGGAATGTTCAATATAGCATGGCCCTACCCCACAACTGGGACTCAGAAATCCTTGCCAATCTACTGCAAATCACCCAGAAATCTAACAATAGGTGTTGATCTTCCTTCTGCCCACCCCTGATGTAAAGCCTTTTGGCAGAGTTTGGGGCATGACAGGGA